ATGGGGGCAGAGTCTGAGTGCGGGGAGCTGAGCGATGCATTCAGGGTCTGATGCAACGCTGTGTAACTCAGACTACTGCGATAGGAGTCTGTCGGAAATCCGTGAACGTTTGACCTTATTCTAATGAGTTTGCATCCGTTTGAATTAGTATGTACGAGCTTAAGTCAGGTTAAATGGTGGCGTGGTTAGAAAAAAAAAAAAAAAACACAAAAGAGATGAATTTGCTAAAAACAGATCATATGGAGATAGCTGTTGAATGTGGATTTACAATATACAAGATTTGTTTTGCCATTTGCAGTAAAACCACATTGGAAAAACTGTGCAAGACTTACCCCAGTGTGCACCAGACAGCGATGATAGCACAAATAATAAAAATCGTTCAAATAGTTAAAATTATTATGATGGAACCTTGGTATTGTCTGAATAATAAATCCCCATTTGGCCTACAATGTCTTGCTGGGGTACCTAACATTAAATCCACAGAAAGAATAGACCACATCATAAAATCCACCTGGCTAGTAGCTACAGTAGGTGCATGTATTTTTATTTTGTTTTTTCCTCTGTCTCATCTTTAGACAGTGATAAAACAGGACCATCCATTTAGCGTGCAGCCCAAAGGGCCAGATAGTGACTCACACAGCTCTTTCTTCTAACTGACTAATGTGAAGGACACCAGGATAACATGTTGTAGTCGGATCAGTTCACTATATTTTACTTTTTACTAAACTTTCTGCACAGTTAGTGCATGGCGCCGTAAAGATGGCGCCGTGGCATGAGCTCTGGTGTGTGTCGTCTGGTGCACACTGGGGTAGTCTTGCTCAGTTTTTCCTACGTGGTTTTACTGCAAATGGCAAATAAATAAATCTGAATCTGAATCTGAAACACTGACATTGATATCATTATTTATTAAAAAGGTACAATATACAACTGTAGGACAAACAAACAGTACAATTTTCTTTTCTTTTGAACTTTAGTACTGTTTGATTCCCTCCAAAAGGGGAATAAAACAAAAACAAATGAACGAATGACTGTTATTGTATTTATGTATTTAGTTTTTGGTTAAAACATGCACATCAAACACTACAGACCAAAAGTTTGGACACAACTTCTCATTCAAAGAGTTTTTTATTTTAATGATTATGAAAATTGTAGATTCACACTGAAGGCCTCAAACCTATGAATTAACTCATGTGGAATTATGTACGTACTAAAAAAGTATGAACCAACTGAAAATATGTCTAATATTCTGGGTTCTTCAAAGTAGCACCTTTTGCTCTGATACTGCTTCACTCTTGGCATGACCTGAAATGGTCTTCAACAGTCTTGAAGGAATTCCCATGATGCTTAGCACTTGTTGGCCTATTCGCCTTAACTCTGTGGTCCAGCCCCAAAACCATCTGGATTGAGTTCAGGTCCAAAACCATCTGGACTGGGTTCAGGTCCGGTGACTGGGTTCAGGTCCGGTGACTGTAGAGGTCATGTGTCCCAGCACCATCACTCTCCTTATTGGTCAAACAGGCCTGACACAGCCTGGTGTGGGTCTGCAGTCAATAGTCATGGAAAGAAATCATTGACTCATTGGGATAGCACTCTCGCCTTTCTGAGTGGAGTTTGCATGTTCTCCCCGTGTAAGCGTATGTTTCCTCCGGGTGCTCCGGTTTCCCCTACCACTAAAAACATGCACAATAGGTCTGAATGTAAATGAGAGAGTGAATGGATGGTGTTGATTGGAGCTGATGGTCCAGTGTGAGCGAGTGCCAGAGCAGAGGAATTTGTTTTACCGGTGGAGATATGCACACTATTTTAACTATATCAGTGAAGAGGGAGCAGAGCCGAAAGGCAAAGCTCTCGATTTACCGGTCAATCTTCGTTCCCTCCCTCACCTATGGTCATGAGCTTTGGGTTGTGACCGGAAGAACGAGATCGCGGATACAAGCGGTCGAAATGAGCTTCCTCCGCAGAGTGGCTGGGCGCTCCCTTAGAGATAGGGTGAGGAGCTCGGTCACACGGGAGGAGCTCGGAGTAGAGCCGCTGCTACTCCACGTCGAGAGGAACCAGTTGAGGTGGCTCGGGCATCTGTTCCGGATGCCTCCTGGACGCCTCCCTGGGGAGGTGTTCCGGGCACGTCCCACCGGGAGGAGGCCCCGGGGAAGACCTAGGACACGCTGGAGGGACTATGTCTCTCAGCTGGCCTGGGAACGCCTTGGGGTCCCCCCGGACGAGCTGGAGGAAGTGTGTGTGGATAGGGAAGTCTGGGCGTCTCTGCTTAGACTGCTGCCCCCGCGACCCGGCAACGGATGAAGCGGAGGAAAACGGACGGACAGTCAAAAAGTTAAAAACGTTGTCGTGGAGTGCAAACTTTGCACGTGCAGCGATTGGTCCGTTCATATTATTCCAGCGGCTGTAGAAGCTCCAGCCCAGCTCTATTTTCCCTCATTTTGGTCTGTCAGGCGCGAGGGCTGCTGAACGGAGGGGTCCTGTGTGGGTATGTGGGAACTAATCATTTTAAAATAGTCTCTTTCAGCTGCAAGTTTTATAATGCGTTTTGTTTGATCAATTGATAAAAATAAATGCGATGTAATTTAAATGGCACCTTGGCCTGTCTTATTATTACATGTGTGCTGCAGGACAGTTCTCTATATAATACTAATACTAATACTAACATATAATACTAATACTAACATATAATACTAATACTAATACTAACATATAATACTAATACTAACATATAATACTAATACTAACACTAACATATAATACTAATACTAACATATAATACTAATACTAATACTAACATATAATACTAATACTAACATATAATACTAATACTAACATATAATACTAATACTAACATATAATACTAATACTAATACTAACATATAATACTAATAGTAATACTAATACTATTACTAATACTAACATATAATACTAATACTAAAATAGTAATAGTGCAACAATTAATCTACTTAGAAGTTATCCTAAATTACAACAAGCTAAAGCTCGGTACAACGACAAACGAAAAAGTAATGCAATAGTTACTTTTACTGGTAACTAGTTACTTTATAATGGAGTACCTCAGTTAGTAACTCAGTTACTTTTTGGGAGAAATAACTAGTAACTATAACTAATTACTTTTTCAAAGTAACGTACCCAACGCTGTGTATGGCACTATTATAGTCATATTTAAGTACAATGGGCCAGATGACCTACATAGACCTGATATGATTCTTGCACTTGTTTCACAGATTGTCTCTTGTCCCGTTCTTGTCTCTGTCCATGTCTCTAAATTCACATAAAACGGACAAATGGCTCCAAGTTAAAATATAGAAAGAATAATTGCTCCATCGTTCAGAAGATGATAACTTGTGGAAATGTATTCATGAATAAGTAAAGTTTCTTTCTTCCATTTCCTTGCTCTGTCTTGTTGCTAGGAGACGGAGCAGGAAGTGTGTGAAGAAAAGATGCATTGGTTTAGAGAGGACTGAACCAGGACTGAACCAGGACTAGGCAAGGACTGAACCAGGACTGAACCAGGACTAGGCAAGGACTGAACCAGGACTGAACCAGGACTAGGCAAGGACGGAACCAGGACTGAACCAGAACTAGACAAGAACTGAACCAGGACTGAACCAGGACGAGACAAGGGCTTGTCCTTGTCTGGAGTTTGCATGTTCTCCCGCGACATGGGGAGAACATGCAAACCCCACTCAGCCCCTGTCACGTGGAGGAATGATAGAGGACCCAAAATGCGGGGATGCAAGAAAAATAATGATTAGATTAGATTAGATTCAACTTTATCGTCATCGTCAAGGGGCTGAGTGGAGTTTGCATGTTCTCCCCATGTCGGCGTAGGTTTCCTCTGAGTGCTCCGGTTTCCCCTATACCACTAAAATCATGTTTGATGAGGTCTGAATGTAATGAGTGATTGATTGAATGGATGGTGTTGGTTGGAGGCTTGGAAAGATATCTGAGGTGCTTTTGGGGGACCTTGGTTTGAAAATGCGCCATATATATGAATTTCTTACTAATCCAGAGCCAGGCATCTCCATTTGCAGCTGGACCGACAACCTTTGTGTTTTTGCGCTGACCAAGTGAGGCTTTATCATCAGAGCTTGGTCTCAAATGAATTCAAACATATTTTTCATTCAGGATTTGTACATTTTGTGAGATCAATAAAGTTATATCTTATTTGTGCATGTTTTGAGATAAAAACAGATGGTTTTAACTCTCAAATGATCAATCTCTGTCTCTGAGTTACTGAAGCATCTGTGTTAAAATTATTATTATTATTATAAACCTACAGGGAAAACTATGTGCAAGCCAGGACTAAAACAGGGCTAAACCAGGACTAAAGTGGGACTAAAGTAGAACCTAAGCAGGACCAAAGCAGGACGAAAGGAAGACAAAAGCCAGTACTAAAGCAGGTCTAAACAGAACAAAATGATGACTAAAGGAGGACTAAAACAGTAATAACCAAGACTAAAGCAGAACTAAAGGAGGACTCAAGACTGAAGAAGGACAAAAGACTAAAGCAGGACTAAAGCTGGACTAAAGCAGGTCTAAAGAAGGTCTAAAGCAGGACTAAAGCAGGTCTAAAGCAGGTCTAAAGCAGGTCTAAAGCAGGTTTAAAGCAGGTTTAAAGCAGGTCTAAAGCAGGTCTAAAGCAGGTCTAAAGCAGGTCTAAAGCAGGACTAAAGCAGGACTAAAGCAGGTCTAAAGCAGGTCTAAAGCAGGTCTAAAGCAGGTTTAAAGCAGGTTTAAAGCAGGTCTAAAGCAGGTCTAAAGCAGGTCTAAAGCAGGTCTAAAGCAGGACTGACGCAGAACCAAACCACAACATAACCAGGAGTAAACCGGGTTGAAACCAGGACTGAAACATGTCCACAGTCTAGACCAGGGTGATTGACTGGCACAGATCCAGGCCTGTTACTCTTATGCATTAAACTCTTAAGCACTTTATCGAGTGCATCGACCCGACTCTAAACGCTCTCTCTGTGTCTCAGGGTCGCCACGTTAAAACAGGACAGCTGGCAGCCATCAAGGTCATGGACGTCACCGGAGTAAGTACCGACTCACTGCTCCTGCTTTGCCAAATAATGTGTCTTTTATGTTTTTCTTTTTCACACTGTGGCCATTATGAGCCATTCGAGATGCGTGCTGGAAATGTGGGCCAATACCGGTTTGTCTTTGACCAATGGAATCAGGGCAATGTTAAGACGGTTAAGACAGTTTTAAGTGGGATAAGTTTTTCAATGTTTCTTAAGTATTTCTGAATAACATTTCTGAATAAAATGCAAACTACTTGAACTACATTGTTGCAATAAATGGCCTTGGATTGGTATCGCTATCTGCGTTACTTACACATTACTTACACATTACTTACACATTAATTACACATTAATTACACATTACTTTCAGGGCCCAAAGGATCCCAAAAGTGTAGAGAATTATTGTTTAATCTTATGTATATTTAAAGAGACAGTCACAGTAGGTAATATTTTCATTATAAATTCTCCATCTTTTATATGCGCCACAGATAACACATGTTCAAAGCCTTTTCTGAACAAAGGTTTAAAGTTTAGGTGTTCTTGATTAAAAATACAATGGACATGATGTTGTTCAAAACTCACAAACAAAAAATAGCACCACACACATGTCTAAATGAAAGCAGATAAATGATTAGTAATAAAGCCCTTGTCTATTTTGTATATCAACAGATGTTTAGTATCTTTTTGTCTGTGTATTGTATACTGTGTGTGTACATATTCACAGATATGTATACTCCTGAGTACTTCTATCCAGATTATTCTATTCTCACAATACTATCTCATTATTATTATTATTTTCATACTGTTACTTTAATGTTATTTTTATTGTGAAAAACTGTGCGAGCGACTGTGACAATGCCATTTTCTTTTGAGGATCAATAAAGTCAGTCTAAGTCTATAAGCAATACACAGAGCTTATACTGTTTCTGTCTAAGCTCCAGCAGGTGGATTGCATCAGTAATCAGTGCTTGGGCGCTAAATGTTTCTCAGGCCGAGAATTCTAGCAACAGAAATGTGATTGTAATTCTTTTAAAATAGAATTAAACAGAGTAGATTAATTACATCACATATTTCGGCCCCTTTAATGTTTGACTGCTTAATATATCATTTATTGTGGAAATATGTCCAAAATGTCCGTTTAATGTCTAATAATACATTTTGTAGAAATACTTAGACTGAGGAAAACCAAAGAAATGCCAGTTTGTCAAACAAGAAAACCAAAAGCATGTTATGAAGTCCATTAGAATGATTTTTTAGACCTGTTTCTATCTTTCTAAAATTGAAATAATATTTTAATTATTTTATTCACTCTCAAAAAATGACAATAATCAGTGTAAATATGATTATAATTATGTTTATCTTCCAGTTGCCATGTATATATCCAGCTGAAACGGAGGAGTGACCTTTTCCTCCACAAAACCATTGTACCATATTTTCTGTTAAAGTGACATTATGAGCCGGGCCAACACGAGAAATGAAATGTCAAAAAAATCCAATCCAAATTGAATAAAGTCAATCAAATGGATGTATAATATAATAATAATGTTTCTTTCTCAGGATGAGGAGGAGGAGATTAAAGCTGAGATCAACATGCTCAAGAAATACAGCCACCACAGAAACATAGCCACGTACTACGGCGCCTTCGTCAAGAAAAACCCTCCAGGAATGGACGACCAGCTCTGGGTACGTTCACGCTCAAACCACGTCCTCATCTCCGTCCAAAAGTTGCCAGAAATCTGATGTAATAAGTGTGAAATCTTTTGGAGAACAATGATCCCAAATTTACCGCCGCGACAAAAGGCCTGGAATTAACAACTGAAAATGAGTGTTGGTTTTCTCACCACAGATGCAAGTCCGAATTTGGAAAGACGAGAGAAGAAAATGTCTGAAATCCAAACTTTGAAGCTTTTTAGTTTGATTCTGAAGTGTAATTGGAAGAAAAAGGACACAAAATTAACGGTTCCAAAGTGGGTCTGAAACACGGTTCATCTTTCGCAGATTTGTTTTTTAACAGTGTGCACCAGCAGCATCATATACAACATCATATAACTGCCAGTGATAATTAGTTCAGATGATGCACGACTTTTGACAGCTGCAGTAGCACTCTGACCTACAACCAGCACGTTTGATATCTCTGCGATCACACTTCAGCAGTCGTGAGTTCAGGTGGTTAGAAAAGTGTATAATAAAGTGTGTTTGACAGCCTTAAAACATACGGCGGCTACTTCGCTTATTGCGGGTTATTTTTAGAACGTAACCGTGACGATACACAAACGACCACTGCGTTGATCTGATACCAGTTTGATCATTTTATTAGAACTTTTATTACGTTCGAATCCTGGTTTTCACTACCACTAAAAACATGTACAATAGGTCCTGTCGTGGAGAGACATACGCTAACAATTGTACAGCGCTTTTTTAACTCGTTTTGCGCTACACAGTATACATAAAGATTACTTACTTACATATTGATATAAACTGCACAAACTTTAAATGAAGAACTGTAGAGATTTTGAAGTGGGACCTTCAGAAAAGCAATGACCCTCTTTCAAAAACTATTTTCTCCACTTATCGGGCGGCACGGTGGCTGAGTGGATAGCACTCTCGCCTCTCAGCAAGAAGGTCCTGGGTTCGAATCCCGGTTGGACCAGGGCCTTTCTGAGTGGAGTTTGCATGTTCTCCCCGTGTCTGCGTAGGTTTCCTCCGGGTGCTCCGGTTTCCCCTACCACTAAAAATATGTACAATAGATCTGACATGTGCTTCCTGTACTGGCGACCCCAATCCCAAAAATCACAATTGTAAACCGCTTTGAGACTCCGATGTGCAGTGAAAAGGCGGTATATAAATAAAGATTACTTACTTACTACTTACTTATTGCCCTTGAGATGGTATTTCTTTGCTTGAAATGTTGCACGATATGACCAGAGCAAAAAGGTTGACAAAGATAAATTACAGAAGACTCAATATGAAAAGACTATAGAGACAATCTTTAAAGCTGGTGTAGATCATTCTGATAAATGTACCTCGTCTTATGCCGTACTTGTTATCAGTGCGCATGCTCAGAATTATACTTATTATTATTATTATCGCTCTTGCAAAGTAGTTCCATGATACAGCCACGTTGGATAAGCTGATTAAAACTTAAACGGAACTTCATCACTGACTCCTCGCTCATTTCAACATGGTGTCAGAATAAGTAATGAGCCCATCGCCCGTGAGTTTTGCTGCCATTTTTGTGTGAAATTCCCGAAGATTAAACGTTTTTGATGGAAACCTCGCAGAGAGCTGGCGTGTGTTTGAAAGGGAATATGACGTCTTTATAGAGGCAGCACACACAGACAAATCTGCGAAGACAAAAGCGTACATCCTCCTCAATCTCGCTGGAGCAGAAGCCGGTGAACGGGAGCGTTCGTTGGTCTACGCCGTAGAAGTTAGGGCGCCAGGTGACAATGGAGCCATCCTCGTGTCGGTGTCCTGCCGAGTTGTGACGCCCAGCTGTTAATGATGTAATGAATGATGTAATGCAAATCTGCGCATGCGCGTCTCACGGCAGCCGGAGAAAACCAAGATGGCCGACACAAAGTCCGTAAATTGCTTTAAAAGTTAAAATACGAACGAATTAAGTCACAAATGTCACTTTTAATGCAATTTGAGGCGAGATGTTGATGGTTCCGCCTTGTCACATGTGGGTTTTAAGAGTCAGAGCGGCACAACTCGGCAGGACACCGGCAGAGTCCAGAGAAAATCCCGAATGTCTCAAGCAAAAGTTCCGGGAAGTGTGTAACCCACAACACAATAAAACAAATACTAACAATTGTACAGCTATTAAATGAGAGTACAATTCTGCAATAAACTATATAACCTTATCTCAAATAAAATGTATCATGTATCTCTGGATTACAAACAGCTGGGGTCAAACAAACCACCAAGATATATGTATTAAAATCCATCTAACTAGTTCCTTTTTATGAGCTTGGTTTCTTTATGAGTTAGGTACCCCAACTTTAGGCATTTCTAAAAACTTTTCAAAGTATTATAAGAAGAATCAGGCATATTATCCACCGATGACAGCTGCTGACAATGCTAAAGCTAAGCTAATGTGTTCGCTAATGCTATGCTAACCTAGCTGTGATGCTAACTGTGTGTTGACAGCTGGTGATGGAGTTCTGTGGCGCCGGATCCATCACAGATCTGATCAAAAACACCAAAGGGAACTCACTGAAGGAGGAATGGATCGCATACGTGTGCAGAGAAATACTACGGGTAAGAAAATAGTTAATGTGACAAGATAGTTAGATGTGTTTTTTTGTATTTTTGTATACTTTATTGTGTCATCTTCATTAGTTCACACTGTTTTCTTAATACATACAGCTTAACAAGACACATTTTAATTTATTCCCCCCCCCACTAATGCTCCCCTTGTGTCAAGAGAAGGATAAAACAAGACGAAGCAAAACAAATACATGGATAAATAAATAATAAATCAAATATAAAAAATATAAAAAGATATAAAAAATAAAACAATATTAAAGTAAATATATAGAATACTCTAAACAATATATGATTATTCCTATGGCTATACATTAAATAGTTTTGATATCATACTGACAAACAGACAGAATGTGACGTTGGTTTAGTCAGTCGTCCTCTACTGTGTCCAGTGTCCATACTTGTTGAGTTCACATTTATATTACACACACACAAATACCCATTCACACACATATATACTCATGTACATACACATACATACACATATACACACATGCATACGTACATACACATACAATACCCATGCATACATACACGCAGACGTATAATCATGCACACTTGTAGACACACAATATTTTTCTCATGTTTCTCTTTCCCCTTGAGAAGCTCCTCTCTATTTAGTTTTATGGTTATTGTTGAAATAAAAATGCATTATTATTTTTCATTCTAATTAAGTGGGTACATTTAAGTGAATGTATCATCGAAGGTGTGCCATTTTCTCATGAATGAATCTTCCTCATTATTAATGTTGTGCTTAAGCTAGTTAGATTTATTACAATTATGTATGTATATGTAAGTGTGTGATAGCAGCTTGTACACTTTTTTTATGCTAGCATTGTTAGCGTTACCTGTGATAGAAAAAAACTTCTCTCTGGCCTCTCTCTGAATGAAAGATTTGTGAAAGTGTGAAAGTCTATTCTATTTCTGTTTTCATTTTTAAGACGGTAAAATCTGTTGCCTTCCCTGTATTATCACCAGATTATCATTTGCTTTTATGGTGATTATACTATGATGAAATCTAGTATTTGCTTATGCTTGACTTGTAAACAAATTCTTTCCTGTGGTTCAGGGTCTGACCCATCTGCACCAGCACAAAGTCATCCACAGAGACATCAAGGGCCAGAACGTGCTGCTGACGGAAAACGCAGAGGTCAAACTTGGTGAGAGAATATTTGTCTTCTATAGTTTATTTTCAAATGCATCTGAAAATACTGGCGTTAGGAAAAGACAAGGCAAAACATTGAACAAGCGCCATTTTCCATTTGTCTCCACGTCCAGTACTTCTCTGATCTGTGACACACTGATGATATGGCAGCATTGCACAATTGAAAACCAATCTTCAAGCTAACGCCATGTTTCTATTTTAACATTTTCTCTGCTATAGAATCTATGTTAATCTTTATTACCACCCAGGAGGTAAAGTGATCATCGTTTGTCTGTTTGTACGTCTGTGAGAAACAGAACTTGTCAAGAAATGTTATGTGTATTATCATGTTAATAAATGTGTGTAGATTAGTCTAGTCAAGTTAACCAGCTAATGCAGAATTCTCCCAGCCCCCAGGCAAGAGTGAAAGAGCATAAGTAAACAAAGAGACAAAGTTAATCTTTTATTTGTTACATTGTACAAGGAGAATGTCTTGACAGAGGCAAGGCACAGACCCCAGCCTCTCTCAGGACAAGTCTGAAGATTCACAGTCTGCAAGCCCCTTTTGGTAGAGCAAGACACACCTTCGTATGCAGATGGGAAAGGAAGAAACCAACACAACAAAAGCAGTGATGGGAATAACGGCGTTACTTTTTTCAGTAACGAGTAATCTAACTAATTACTTTGACAGTAACTATAACGTTGTTATCATTTCCGACATCCCGTTACTGCGCGTTACTCAAGACGCACAATGAACGTGTTGTCATGAGAGAAGGGAGGATGAGAAAACCTCTCAGCAATTATTGGCGGATGTAAATCATATTTCCTTTACAATCCACATGTCTACAGTTGAGAGGATGGCTCATAAATTGTGTTTTTGAAACAAATATGGGTCTTAATCTCGCTCAACCACGGCTTGTATCACCGTGAGGTCAGCCTCAGAGGAGCGCGTGTGAGCGCAGAAGTCGGCTGCATACAATTCCATCGATAAGCTCCTTGCTCTTCCTGGTTTATCTGCTAAGGACAGCAACAGGTTTGGCTAACATACATATAACAAATTTTTACGTAATCTAAAATGCACATAGGGTAATTTTTCAATTACTATAGGAATGATAAGAAAGAAAGGTGAAGTGTAAGACGGTTGATTTTAGAAATTGGATGCACTCGGCTGCAGCAAAACACAGGAGTTTATGGAGGACACACGCGTTTTGTTTTACTTTTTAAAACTCATTGGACTCATTTCCAAATGGAGGATTACATATCTACGCTCAAACCATTAACTGGATTTAAACAAGGAACTGGTCTGAACCGAAGTGGACTGTGCAGGTCATTTATAAGGTAAGACCCATAACTCATAGTTTTGCGTTTTGTATGAACAAACAATGCGGGCATAAAACATATTTTGCTGTAGTCAAACAAATTGTCCACTTGATTTATATGATGTATATGTTCATCTGATTGGACTGAAGTCAGTGCTTCACCAGCCTCACCGCTCGTCACCGGTGTTTCCACATTCACAGTGGCGGGTGTTGGTGTTTAGTGCTTACAGCACAGACAGAGATGAAGAGTGAACAGGACTTCAGCAACAAAACAGCCTTTTCTAGATGGAAATATTGGCACTGTTAAAGGTAAAAATGCGCACGTCGGGTGCACATTATGTTCCAGAACAAAACGAAAAAGTAACGCAATAGTTACTTTTACTGGTAACTAGTTACTTTTATAGTGGAGTAACTCCGTTAGTCCCTCAGTTACTTTTTGGGAGAAGTAACTAGTAACTATAACTAATTACTTTTTCAAAGTAACGTGCCCAACACTGAACAAAAGGCACTTAGCATATGAGCTCCCCAGACCTCCCGGTGTCTTCCTGAAGCTAAAGTGAATTACAATACAGACCATTCAGCACATAGCCACATATGATTTAACAAAATGATAACTTAAGTTACATTCCAATAACAGAACTCAAAAAGTAAGAGCTGGGCAAATACAGCCCTCTCCACAATCACTCGACACAGTATCATTACAGCCTGGAATGAAGAAGACACAAAGACACAAAATCACGTGCAAATAGAGAAGAAGCAGCGAAATCTTGGCCATCTCCCGCCTATCATCCTGTTAATTACAAGGCTTTGTGAAACCGCTGATTACATTTTGGAGCTGATCCAAATCACTGTTTGGATTCAAGATTTTTTTATGGCTCTGCACGTCCGGGCGGTCTTTTGTATTCTTGTCTACTGTATGTCTTAATATTGATGTAAACTGCTGTATTTAAAGGAAGTTGTCCATATTCAGTCCCACTGTTTTCTATTTTTTTTAATTCAACCTTTTTTTAACAAGGACAAAATTCTCCTTACGGCAATTATGAAGCCACGTTATACCGTAGATCAAACCTGCGTAGTTCAAAACACATGAAGATATTTACAAACCACTTCAAGTTCATAAGTTTAAAACAGTTCTGTGAGACCAGTTTTTTCATTTAAAATCCCTCTGGAGTTCATTCCAAGTTTGTAAATCTAACAGCTTTCTTTCCTAGCTCTCAGGATCAGGTCCCAGAAGGATCAGGTCCCAGCAGGATCAGGTCCCAAAAGGATCAGGTCCCAGAAGGATCAGGTCCCAGAAGGATCAGGTCCCAGAAGGATCAGGTCCCAGAGGATCAGGTCCCAGAAGGATCAGGTCCCAGAAGGATCAGGTCCCAACAAGATCAGGTCCCAAAAGGATCAGGTCCCAGAAGGATCAGGTCCCAGCAGGATCAGGTCCCAAAAGGATCAGGTCCCAGAAGGATCAGGTCCTAGAAGGATCAGGTCCCAAGAGGATCAGGTCCCAGAAGGATCAGGTCCCAGCAGGATCAGGTCCCAAGAGGATCAGGTCCCAGAGGGATCAGGTCCCAACAGGATCAGGTCCCAAAAGGATCAGGTCCCAGGAGGATCAGGTCCTAGCAGGATCAGGTCCCAAAAGGATCAGGTCCCAGAAGGATCAGGTCCCAGAAGGATCAGGTCCCAGAAGGATCAGGTCCCAGGAGGATCAGGTCCCAGAGGGATCAGGTCCCAGAAGGATCAGGTCCCAGAAGGATCAGGTCCCAGGAGGATCAGGTCCCAGTAGGATCAGGTCCCAAGAGGATCAGGTCCCAGAGGGATCAGGTCCCAACAGGATCAGGTCCCAGAAGGATCAGGTCCCAGAAGGATCAGGTCCCAGCAGGATCAGGTCCTGAGAGGGCAGGCCATGGCCACTGCTGCTCTGAACTTCTATTTAAAGCTTGTCTATTCTCACTAATGTTCTATGAGGTGCTGCAGATATGAAGGCACAAACCCAACAATAAATGAAGAGATCCTAGTGCTTGACGCTAAGATAAAGGTAAAGCATCATGAAAGGCCAAACATGAATCTGTCTGAGGTTTCTCGTGAGATTTGTCTGTGTTTACATTTGGCTGGAACAGAAAGATTCTTACGGTAAATGAATGGTATATGGACGAACATTGCTTGCACTTTTGAAATTTTTTCCTGAAATGATGGTAAAATCTCACCTTCTCTTGTTCTGATCCAAACTCCCAATGGTTCTCATGTGACATCACTTCTTATGGAAATTCTGCCTTGTCCCAGTCCTACTGTGTGAATGACCTGGGGCGGCACGGTGGATAGCACTCTCGCTTCTCCGCAAGAAGGTCCTGGGTTTGAATCCCAGTCGGAACAAGGCCTTTCTGAGTGGAGTTTGCATGTTCTTCCTGTGTCTGCATAGGTTTCCTCTGGGTGCTCCGGTTTCCCCTACCACTAAAAACATGTACAATAGGTATGAATGTAATGAGTGAGTGAATGGAGGGTGTTTGGTCGGAGGCTATGATGGTCCAGTGTGTTCGGCGACTCGCTTCCGTCATCACCGTGTGGAGAGAATGGAACAATATCTGAACTCTGAACAAGTGCTTTGGGTGACCTTGGTCTGTAAAATGTGCTATATAAATAAACATTACCTTCTTACTTAGCTGGAAAACAAGTATAATACGGCGACAGTCTCTCACCAGTAGCATACAGACTGATAAAGGCCGTCGCATGCACCTCTCACTAAGACTTTCTCTCTTCAGTGGACTTTGGTGTGAGCGCTCAGCTGGACCGGACAGTGGGCCGCAGGAACACGTTTATCGGAACGCCGTACTGGATGGCCCCCGAGGTCATCGCCTGCGACGAGAATCCAGACGCCACATACGACTTCAAGGTAAAACAAATGGGGTTTTTTTGTACTTTTGGACCTTCTTATATAAGTGAAAGTGTTAAAGTGAAGGCTGGCTACTTGTGAAGTTGTGAAGAGAGAGAGAATACTGGTCCTGCCCCTGTCTAACTGCTGTAGGTTTGAGCTCTCTCTAGTTTTCTCATACATGTACTTTCATTTTCCATCACGTCTTTGATCATTTTTAAATATTGTGGGAAAACGTCCCTAAATCCTAAAAGTAGTCAAGTTATCATGTGTTTTCAAATAGTAATGGAATTGACCAGATGCCTATAGTCTTCAAAAATGAATACATTTATGTTGGAGCGGACCGATAAAATAAACCAATGGGATTTGTTCATCCCCAACGAACCAATGGGATGCGTTTACCTCCTTCACCCTCTTCCTGTTTCTCCCGCGCACCTGAGTGATCGGATGCCAATTTCATGTTTGTCACCCACTCTCCCTGTTGTGACAAAGAAAAGAAAATGCTGGATGTTTGGTTTGGTGGAGAAACGAGGGGGAGGGGGAGTGGTTACGAGTTGGTGCTACAGCTAAGCTAACAAAATTGCTTACTGCACCTTTAAAACGAATGTGCTGATCTGATAAAGGTGTAAACACGTTTATCGGAACGCCGTACTGGTCTCCCATCACAGTACTAACCAGACCCAGTCCAGCTTCAGATGTCTGATGTGATCTGGCTTTTGCATGCAAGTATGGCCACAAATTAGCAAAATAAGTGTCTTGCCCAAGGACACGACGACAGCAGACATCAGTGGGAGTCGGTGGAGTATGTCTTGTGGCGGTCTCGAACCCACGACCTTCAGGCTCAAAGGCCAGTGCCCTACCAGCTGAGCCACTGTCGCCCTCAAATAAATACAAATACAAAAATACAAAAGGAGAGGACCGCCTTCTCTCGACCAATCAGCTCTCAGCCCAGAGATCCAAAGTCATGCCAACGAGAACATGTTTTCTCCTGAAATGACCACAGTGAGTTCGTGAACCAGACTCTTCCTGGTTCTAACCTCGGCTTTAATCGACTAAACGTGTAACAATATGGCGGCTTGAAGCTGACAGCACATCTCAAATCCCACCATTTGCCGCTGACCTTTGTCACATCGCTTCTAAATCACGCTTTTCTTGTTGCTTTCCTGCCGCATTAAACACCGCTTTCTTCCACCCGAACGCACAAACCATTTTCGCATCCGGGAGGTCGCGAATATCACTGATTTTGCCGCATTTTCTTTTCATTTCTTTCTGCGGGGGACAAAAGCTCCGTAATGGGGCCGCAGCTCCCTGTGTGTTCAAACTCTATTAAATGCAAGTCTCTGGAGCTTGTCGAGTCGCGAAAGCTTCACATAAAGAGATTGAATGCTTTAAATAGGAGAAAACCCAGCGCTGGGCTCAGTTCAAATAGATACACTGTGGGTAGGAAATGTACGAGGTATTTTTAACTGCTGGAAATGTCATTCACACAGCTGGAGAAGTAGCAGCGTCGTGGCCTTCAATGATAAAGCAGGAAAAGAAATCGGATTTTAGGGTTCTAGAATGTTGCTTGGTTAGGGTTCTAGAATGTTGCTATTAGTTTAGTTAAATATGCTTTGACGTGCTGTGGTCCCGTCTGCTGTATATTTATAAACTTTGACGCCTTGATCAATCATATGTTTTAGCTAGTTTTTCCATCTTGAACCAAAAGCTGCTTTGGTTTATGCAAATTCTGAAATCTCAGTGGGACTTTCAAGGTTGAATAAAAATAAACACATATTGTCTGGGTTTAAAACAGTTTGGTGATATCACTAGTTTTCCTCGGTCACATCAAGAGCTTGAATTGAGAGGTTTTTTTAATCTTATTTTGAGTACCGTCTGACTGTCGTAAAACCATATTTGCCAATGGGACAAATCCATTTAGTCTAATTTACTAAAAGGTTTTTCTCATGCCAAAAACAAGATAATTTAGCTTGTCCCTTTTGGCAAATCTTGTTTTAAGGCAGTCAACATATTTCTCATTTTTGTTATAAGATGGAGACAGCATGTTGTGGTCTGATGTGTTCACATTGTACAAAACAGATAAGATAAACCTTTATTCGTCTCACAGTGGAGAAATGTCAGTGTCATCGTTGCGCATTACAGCAGAGTAAGGAAATAAGACTCAGACACACACATCAAATAAGTCTATTATTTAAGATAATAGACAATATAATTAAGATAAAGAATAAAATAAAATGAAATAAGATAAACTCTGGGGTTATAATTGCACTTGGTTCAGAAGTATGTTGTACTTTAGCAGCGGAGAATATGAGAATATGAATATGAGCAGAATAAGCATCAGAAATAATATCAACAGGTAAAGTGACTGAAATATCAGATGGATCTGTTATAATGCAGTAATACTAATAACAGGTAAAGTGACTAGTGACAAGGTTACTAGTGAATTAGCAGCGACACTTGTACAGACTCAGCAGTTCTTGTGACACATTCTCGTTGTACAGTCTGACAGCAGCAGGAAGGAAGGACCTGCGGAACCTCTCCTTCACACAGCGAGGGGGAAACTTATTATGATCAAATGAAAGTCCAATGAAACTCAGAACTTTACAAAACCTGGAGAAGTGCATGTTGTTGGTGCATCGGAGCTCTGATCAGACCGTGTTATTCCAGTATTGGTCCATTAGCAGGACAGATGGGTGTTGGGAGTTTTTTATATAAACTCACAGGAACAGTGGCCGCTGGACCCTGCTTCAGAAGTGTGAATGTGCCTCGCGTTCAGCCGATGTCACACTTTACATCTGACTGGTTTGTTTTTCTTTCTTTTTCAGAGCGATCTGTGGTCCCTCGGCATCACCGCGATAGAGATGGCAGAGGGAGCACCCCGTAAGTAACAAACGCTACACAGCTGGTATAAAGTATTGTGACATATGGCTCTTGTATATGTTGTTGTTATTTTCAGCTCTCTGCGACATGCATCCAATGAGAGCGCTCTTCCTCATCCCCAGAAACCCCGCCCCCAGACTCAAGTCCAAGAAATGGTTAGAAAGACTCATTTTTTGACAAATGTACATGTTATTGAATTCTATTTGATTTATTGTATTTCTGTATAGCTCGACCTTTACAAAGTTGTTGATTCGCCAATGGATCAGAGAATCAAACCGTTTGAACAGAGAAGATGCAATAATAACAAACATATAGGAGACATTGGTTCATAGGGAGAGGGATGACCAATGTCCAGAACTGTCCATAAATGTCCATAAATGTCCATAAATGTCCCAGATCCTCCTGCATCAGCAAGAAACAACAACAAAAAACAATGGAACCTCATTGAGGCCCATATTGAGAGAGAAATCTGTTCCCACGGATGAACAGGTTGTAGATCCAGGACTGAGGCTGTAGAACCAGAGTTTAGCCCGTGGGGTGCACGACTGGGGGGGAGCATTCCTGTTGATTGGCAGACGTGGCCACAAATTATTTTTCAATGGGTTGCCTTCATGTTCTAGAATTCTATTTCAGTATTTTGGGCAGGTGCCAATACATCTCGAATGGGAAAGAAGCATTTTTTTCCTTCTAATTACCATAATATCTCTCTGAGTGTGATGTCATAGAGTTCCCAGGTTTGAGACAGGAGTTTTTAGACAGAAGGGGTGGAGTTACTGTACATGTTGGTGCTTGTAGCTCCTGTTGGTGCTTGTAGCTCCTGTTGGTGCTTGTATCTCCTGTTATTAGCATGGATTTGCCTGCTATGTCTCCTTTAAATCTCTAAAAAGTACATTTAGGCCTTTTTATCCAACTGGCAAGCAGCCTATTTACATTCTGCTGTGATTTCAGGTCCAAGAAGTTCCAGTCGTTCATCGACAGCTGCCTGATGAAGAGCCACAGTCAGAGACCCAGCACAGAGCAGCTCCTCAAACACCCCTTCATCAGAGACCTGCCCAACGAGAGGCAGGTGCGGATCCAGCTCAAAGACCACATCGACCGCACCAAGAAGAGGAGGGGGGAGAGGGGTGAGGCGAGCCGCTACCACTGCTATGGCTACAGCGCTGACACGGGGTTAAAGTGTGTTTCTGTGCAGATGAGACCGAGTATGAATACAGCGGCAGCGAAGAGGAAGACGAGGAGAGAGACGTCGGAGAGCCCAGGTCAGACTCACTTTGCCCCAAAGAGCCCACGACGGAGTTTTGTGATGGTTTGGCATGGAATGTTTATCAATCTTTATTTGTAGAGCGCTTTTCCTACACTTCACAGTACACCTATGAATGTAATGTTCTTTCCAAAATGTCAACGTTTGGAAAATCAACACAGTTCATATGTAGGGTCCCTTTGCAGAAAAACAGCCCCAAAGCATGATGTTTCCACCCCCATGATTCACCGCTGGTATAGTGTTATTTTTATTAATCCAATCCACTTTTTTTATATAACACATTTTATAAAACCTGTTTCAAAAGTGCTGCACAGATAAAAGTTACACATCTAAACTTACAAGTCTGCTAGCTTCATTAACTTATTGACTGCCAGCCGTTTTTGAGGATTTCACTGATTCTCAAGACCCACAGAATATTATTTCCTAAGACTATGTGAAATACAAAACCAGATTCTGAAAGACTGGATTGTCTACTTTCATCCGCAAAAATAAGTTGGTTTCCAGCTATTTTTGTTCTCCTGTAATCCCCTGTCGAATAGAGGGTCTCGGACAAATACGTCAATAGCAGTCAATGAGTTAATTAAAGCAATTCTAATAAAAATAAAAACAATTTTATACACATACTGTATATAAACACAACAATATAAAATGAATAAAATAGAGGACTATACAAGTCTCGCAGTGTTAAAAGTGGGTCTTAAAATGAGACCTAAAACATTCCAATGAGTGAGCTGTGATGCTTTGTTCGTCCACAGTGGGAAAATGTCAGTGTTGCATCACCAGTTACGGAACAGTAGGAAGGAGAAGCACAGATAAATGAACAATAACTCTATACTAAAATAAAGTAAAGGTTCTAACGTTAGCATAATAAAGAAGCAAGTACAAATCTCTAGCTTTCACGTAAGAAGGAAGCAAGTCTATTGTATGAAGAAGTAAGAATTAAGAATAAATCTCTGACTTTAGCATAATAAAGAAGTAAGTATTTGCAGTGCCAGATATGCCCTCTGCTTTAGCCAGCACAGCTCCTGGCCCAAAAGTGAGCTATGAAAGTTACTTGGGGCGTACCACCATAGACTGTAAATATTAATGGATGTAGTCACGCCTATCTCCGCCGTTCTAAATAATGGGCCAAAAATTGGGCTCTCATGGAGTGATTCAAAATGGCCGCATCTGGGCATGCGTCAGCCGGCACGAGCTCCATTCATTTAAACGAGTGACTTCAAAAATTCACAGCAAGTAAACCAGAGTGGTCCAAAAAAATTCAGTCCCCTCAGCATTGACACACATGTGGAACGGAGCTTTGGGCCAAGAGCCAACTTTTGGACCATCCTGTAAAGGTGTTTTCGAGAGGTCTGCCAATGCTATATGTTAGCATTGGCTAATTCTTATTCAGGGACCACCCCCATCGGCCCGGGGTGGTATTGCAGCATGTCAGCAAACGTCATTTTGGCCACTTTTGAGCCTGGACCCGCCCCCACTGGGTACAACTCAAAGGAAAGCCCAAGAGTTGTTATTGTTGTGACTATGTTGTTAAGTTTCCTTGGCTGTTTAGTAAGGCGCTTATAAATAAGATGCTGCATTATCATTATTATTATTCTAAAGTGATCCAATGTCTTCCTCGTATGTCTTTCTAACTCTATAGTTCTTGTGGATTCTCAGCTCTATCATAAACATCCCTGGGGAGTCCACTCTGAGGCGGGACTTCCTGCGTCTGCAGCTGGCCAATAAGGAGCGCTCTGAGCTGATCCGCCGCCAGCAGCTGGAGCAGCAGCAGAACGAGGAGCACAAGAGGCAGCTGCTGGCGGAGAGACAGAAACGCATCGAGGAGCAGAAGGAGCAGAGGCGGAGGCTGGAGGAGGTCGGCACAGACACACCAAGTTTATACGTGTAGCACAAATCAGACACTGCAAAAATCATAAAACCACGAAAAAAGCATTTGATAGTAGGTTGTTTTTGCGTGACATCACAACATTCCAAAGAGCATATAGTTTAACATTGTGGTGGAGGGCGGCTGAAAAATCTTAGTAACTGTGGCAACTTCTAGCTTTAGTTCAGAGCTCATCTTATCCTGGGCCAATCCACAACAAAAACTGCCACAAAGTTCCACATCTTCTTTGTCAACAATGGTCTCATTGTTTTCACATCACGTCTAGAAGTGGTGACCATTTTAAAAAAACATATATATGATCTTAGCCTTTTGAAAGGGTTTTCAGTACATTACTGTATTTAAAAGAACACATTTCCAAATCTTTCTGTAGAATCTCCATCGCCGGCGTCACTAAAAACAAGGAGTGATTCTGAAAGTTGGATATTTGCTCCTCCTGTTCACATCTTTGTGCGGCATAACACACGTAGAACTAAGGACAGTGGAACCTTTATGGGCATATTTTGTTTACCAACCAATCAGTATTTAAAACACTTTAAGATTTAGGTTCTGTTGTTTCTGATTCCGATAAGAATAGACAGTGACCGTGTAGATTTTAAGCTTTCCAAAAATGTTAATGGATTGGTGGCTTTTTGAAGGTCACCTGTAGTCACTAAACACTCAGACATTTTTCCCACGACCTGTCACCTTAAACCACTACAATGATCTACAACATTTTTGATGAGTAGCTTATTTCCGATGACAACTCGAGACAGTCAAATAGCAGTTGGAACAAAAGAAAGAAACAATTATGTAATCTTAAACCCGTTATCCATCACTATCTAAACCTCAGCACTTGCATTCATCAGACCTAAAAAGCTCTTCACGCAGAAATGACACTGACCACACATTGTAAATCATGTACAGAGACTCAAACAGAACGGCGGCAGAATAACAAACAGGTCTTTCGTTTCTCCAAGTCGTTTGAGGTAAGCTTATGTAAGGCCTCCCTGCTGCTCCCGACGATAATGACTGCACAGATCTACCTGCTTCACACCCGAGTCGTGCGGAGTCGGGACGTGTGAATGAGTTTCCTGTCTGTTCACAGCAACAGCGGCGTGAGCGAGATATGAGGAAGCAGCAGGAGCGCGAGCAGAGGAGGAGGTACGAGGAGATGGAGCAGATCCGGAGGGAGGAGGAGCGGAGGCACGCCGAGAGGGAGCAGGTAACGACAAGTGTGGGAAAGACTGAGTGTGCTGCTGCTGTGGTGAAAGAGCCATGTTACTGTCCAAACCCTTCTACACCACTTTCTCTAGTCAGCCATTAATCAAACACAACAATCATCAAACCCATGGAAATGTGAAAGAGTAGAATGAAATATGTGTCTCTGTATATAGAGACTAATCGAACATTATGGGAGGAACCTGGACCACTGTGAACTCCAAACTCTAAATGAAATGTTGGTCCAAAAAGCAAGTTAAAGGTATATAGGAGGATTTTCTTTTTCCAGGTGGATCATCAAGACTATTGGTCCTCTTAATTGTCAGTCATTCTGGTGAAATGTATGTGCGCGTCAAACAAGACCAGAGACTTTTTGGGAGATTCTTTCACACTATGGCGTGCACTGAAAGACCAGGTTGGGCTCTCACTGATGCTTTAGTCACAAAGTCTCTACTCCACAAGTATAGTTTGGATTCTATTTGGAGAAAACCATTTCAAATCACTCCCAGTAAAAGTGATCTACGTCGATAATGTATGACACAGTGGAAAAGTGCCAATATTGTGTGTGAGCGATACCGGCAGTGAAAGGTAAACAGAGCCCAGTTCTCCTCGTGCACGTCTTTGGTCTCTGTAGGAGGGAAAGCGCTGTGCATGCACTTTTTTTCTTCAAAAACTGGATAAAGTGGTTCTTTTCCTAAATTTTTGAAAATCCTCCTGTATACTTTTTAATAGATAATTGACATGGGTTCCATCTGTAGCTATTTACTTTTATTACAGGTCCCTATATACAATATAAAGGGGGATTGTAAGTTTGTAAGGTTTAATCCGCTTATACCATGGTCAAAATACCCAAAACATTTTAGAAAATACTCTATATTTGGTCCTCTGCACTTTCAAAAACTCGTTTGTGGAAATTGAGTGTTTTATGAACTATTGATCCATGCGCAGGGTCCCTAGCAACTGTTGTCATGACCAAAATGTAGACACACACACACACACACACACACACACACACACACACACACACATAGGAGAGGAAAAAGCAAACTACATTTAACTCTTGATTCTTACAAAACAAGTAATATTTAAATGTGCACTTTACTTATCTCCGTAGGGAACATGTAGCTTTAGCAACTTATTTTAATATGCAGATGTATAACAGACCGTTAAAAGTAATCAATAATCCAAAGGGTAAATTAGCAGTGTTGGTATGGGGACATCTAAAGCCCTATTCGGACGGGATTAGTATTACATGGGGACCCCTGGTAATTTGTGATAATCGCGGAGGAGGTTTGACATCTGACAGCGCATTCACACGGGATCAACAATGTCTGTAATTTTCACTGACATCTCACATACCGGCCGCACGTGCGCGGTCTCTCCGCTTCACGCAGTTCATAGAGCATCAGAGACCATGAAGACAAACACATACATGTGGATTTTACTGCTCTACAGTTCTCTGGCCCGTACTTTCTGTTATGTTTAAACAACACTTTTTGTACGGACTACACGTGAACGCCCCACATACGCGAGCCGACAAATGGTAACGGCTGCAGCAACACGTCTGTACTGTAGGAGGACAGAGTGCAGAGTAAACGTACAAACACAACCCATCGGTCTGATCATTTAGTGTCTGTGAACACATTACACTGTCTACACTTCTCCATAGACCTCACAGAGACAGCAGCAGCCGCAACTCTGCAGCTGTGTACACAGCCGCAATATGCGACTCCTGCTCATTGATAAAAACAACACAGAAAATAAAGAGAAAGCAGCAACAACAATCACTGACATGCAGTGATTGTGAGGAGGTCATTTGCAGCGGAATTATTACTTTACAAATTACAGACATGGCACATTCGCACGGGACTAAAATCTCAGACGTTCTCTGTGATTGCCACAAATTACCAGAGGACCCCATGTAAAACGAATCCTGTCCGAATAGGGTTTAAGGCAGAGTGATGCTGTAATTTAACCTGAGGTTTAAAGAATAATAATATAATGGGAGTTTTCATTGGAGTCCTCACTGACCATGGTATAATATTGTATCATTGTTTATATCTGTTATAGTTTAATCCCATAACTCTGCTGAGGCTGGAATGTGCAGCTTTATGATGAATGTCCATTGTTTTTATCATTAGACTTGTTTGAACCATTTTTAAACGCACATTTTTACAGCCGCATTACACAGAAACATATCAGTGTCTAAAATGAGATGGAGATTTGACTGCTTTGTTAGAAAACCTGTACATAATTTAATCACAGATGTGTTTGTTACGGTCAACTCTCCACATTAAAGGACCAGTGTGAAGTAACTCGTTTGTCTCCAATGTAGATGAAAAATGTAATGCCGTACTGTGGAGCATTCCAGGCTAAACAACAGCTTTTGGATGGAGCCAAGCAAAAAGCCGAGGAAGAGGAAAAGGTATTGGATGGAGTCAAAAGAAACCGTAAAACTATTTTCACATACGAGGATTTTGAGGAGGAAAGATAGAAAGGAAATGTTGTGTTTTCTGAAGGGGAAAAAAGAGGAAGAGGGAAGAATGGGTTTGAAGTAATTGACAAAAACATTGAAAATAGAGCAGAGAGAGTGGAGGAGGGAGTTCACGCTGAGACATTTAACAGCCGCTCTGGGGGGTCGGACACATTCAGGCAGAAGGAAGACAGAAAATATTAAAACACCATAAACTAGATCCTCATAGACTTGATTTTGGGCAGAAAAAAACACTCAAAATACAAAACAACTTCACTTTCGAAACCAATGCATTTCTGGATAGCCTGACAATAGCTTCAATGTCTGCTAGTTTTAAAGCTGGAGTACCTGACTTTCATAAATACTTAATGCCTTTTTAAAGAGTCTGAGCAGCAGCACTTGTTTACAGTCACAGGGGAACGAAAACTCAGGCTGGAGGCATATGTCCTGGTTTAATCCTAGTCTGGTCCTGGTTTAGTCCTGGTTTAGTCCTAGTCTGGTCCTGGTTTAATCCTGGTTTAATCCTAGTCTGGTCCTGGTTTAGTCCTGGTTTAGTCCTGGTTTAGTCCTGGTCTGGTCCTGGTTTAATCCTGGTTTAATCCTAGTCTGGTCCTGGTTTAGTCCTGGTTTAGTTCTGGTTTAATCCTAGTCTGGTCCTGGTTTAGTCCTGGTTTAATCCTAGTCTGGTTCTGGTTTAGTCCTGGTTTAGTTCTGGTTTAATCCTAGTCTGGTCCTGGTTTAGTCCTGGTTTAATCCTAGTCTGGTTCTGGTTTAGTCCTGGTTTAGTTCTGGTTTAATCCTAGTCTGGTCCTGGTTTAGTCCTGGTTTAATCCTAGTCTGGTCCTGGTTTAGTCCTGGTTTAGTCCTGGTTTAATCCTAGTCTAGTCCTGGGGGAGTCCTGGTTTAATCCTAGTCTAGTCCTGGGTTAGTCCTGGTTTAGTCCTAGTCTGGTCCTGGTTTAATCCTGGTTTAATCCTAGTCTGGTCCTGGTTTAGTCCTGGTTTAGTCCTGGTCTGGTCCTGGTTTAATCCTGGTTTAATCCTAGTCTGGTCCTGGTTTAGTCCTGGTTTAGTTCTGGTTTAATCCTAGTCTGGTCCTGGTTTAATCCTGGTTTAATCCTAGTCTGGTCCTGGTTTAGTCCTGGTTTAGTCCTGGTCTGGTCCTGGTTTAATCCTGGTTTAATCCTAGTCTGGTCCTGGTTTAGTCCTGGTTTAGTTCTGGTTTAATCCTAGTCTGGTCCTGGTTTAGTCCTGGTTTAATCCTAGTCTGGTTCTGGTTTAGTCCTGGTTTAGTTCTGGTTTAATCTTAGTCTGGTCCTGGTTTAGTCCTGGTTTAATCCTAGTCTGGTTCTGGTTTAGTCCTGGTTTAGTTCTGGTTTAATCCTAGTCTGGTCCTGGTTTAGTCCTGGTTTAATCCTAGTCTGGTCCTGGTTTAGTCCTGGTTTAGTCCTGGTTTAATCCTAGTCTAGTCCTGGGGGAGTCCTGGTTTAATCCTAGTCTAGTCCTGGGTTAGTCCTGGTTTAATCCTAGTCTGGTCCTGGTTTAATCCTAGTCTGGTCCTGGTTTAATCCTAGCCTGGTCCTGGTTTTGTCCTGGTTTAATCCTAGTCTGGTCCTGGTTTAGTCCTGGTTTAATCCTAGTCTGGTCCTGGTTTAGTCCTGGTTTAGTCCTGGTTTAATCCTAGTCTAGTCCTGGGGGAGTCCTGGTTTAATCCTAGTCTAGTCCTGGGTTAGTCCTGGTTTAATCCTAGTCTGGTCCTGGTTTAATCCTAGTCTGGTCCTGGTTTAATCCTAGCCTGGTCCTGGTTTTGTCCTGGTTTAATCCTAGTCTGGTCCTGGTTTAGTCCTGGTTTAATCCTAGTCTGGTCCTGGTTTAGTCCTGGTTTAATCCTAGTCATGTCCTGGTTTATTCCTGGTTTACTATATTTCAGTGTGAGTTCATGTCCTTTTGATTTGTATTTCTTTTGGCTGAAAAAAAAAAAATCTGAAAATCCACGACTGCCACCACCCTATGAAGTCATAATATACTATTAAAAGTACCCATCTACATATTTACATAAACTTTGGGTCATCCTTAAAATGTCTCTGATTTACATAAAGCCTCTACCTTTTATCCGTTTTAAGTTATTAAGAAATTAAGATGTCAAAATTAAGCTTCTTTGGAAAAACCTCTGGCGCCTAAAGAGTTAATCTGACCACATTTTGTCTTAAGATCGTCCACTGGGACAAAACCATTTATTGTTTTTCCAAGAACTGTTGAATTTCTTAATCTTTTTGCTTTTTCCCATTGGCCAAAAATACATTTTGCCAGACTTTTTGACGTATTTTTCACGGCTGTTTGCAGTGTAGTGAATCAAACTGGTTTTCTAGAGCGAGGAACTAGTTACATGGAATTTTGTTACATATTTTGGTGATTTCAAAGTTAGGTACCCCAGCTTTAATCACTCGACAGACTTATATTTAAGGTGACCGGAACATGAAGGACAAAAGTTGAGTTGGTTAAAGTAATCTAAAGTCTCCTATTCTATCTTAATACACTGAGCGGCTGGGTGGGTTGGGCTGGAAGTCCATATATGGTATTATCTGTTTGGTAATGTGACAGTTATGTGTGACAGAAAATGCATGTATTTCTAAGCTTATACACATTGTTCTATCCTCTGCTTCTTTGCTCACATCTAAAGCATGTGATCCAGTGTTTATGAATGAGACGTTAGAGAAACAGCTCACGGTGCGACGCTAATGTCAAGAAGCTAACGTAGAACCTGACGGGACGAGTACAAACAGAGTTCATGTGTTAGCTTGAAACCACTGAAATTATTGTCTCAAAATGTCCTATTATCTTATTAAAGGAGCAATATGTAAGAGTCTTACATATTGAGGCGGGACATCGAATTGAAAACAACAAGATTTACAGGCTGTAATCCAATTTTGAAATGTCAATATACCGGCTCAGTTAAAAAAGTACTTGAAAAAAGCATGGTTTTGACAGATTAGGGCCCTTTAAATATGTCTTGACATGAAAATCTTACATATTGCTACTTTAAAGGATTTAAATTCTGTCCCTTATTCACAAAAATCAGCCTTAGAATTCACTTTGGTCTTCATTACTTAAAGCCACAGTGCGTAGCTGTCTGGGGGAGAAAAATCATCTGCATTTGAATTTATGTAGTTATTATTTTATTGTCAGTTTTACACGGATAGACTTAGTGAGAGATTTGGTGAAAGACCCTGTTTCACACTCAGTAAAAATACACAAACTTAGACACAATACAAGAGGTCAGAAATTGTAACACTGAATTAATGTAAAGATAAAGTTTGGCAAAAGTTCAGCGTTTGTACGAACAGTTTGATGGTTACGTGATCTCCAGAGTCCAACAGCGGCTGAGTTTTTATGGATACATGCAACACAATGCTCCTCTCTCTTCTCACACACAGCCAAGGCCAAACTAAAGTTACTCTGATGACTTTTGAATTTGTGATAAAACGAAGGATAGCATAATTCACAACAGCAGTTTTCCCTAAGGACATTGAGCCTCATTCACGAATAACTTCGTAAGAAACTTCTTAAATTTCTTCTCAAGTCGTAGATTTCTAAGAAGTCCCCACGTGGGATTCATCAACGCGCTCGTAAGGCGCTGAATTGTTCGCAGCTGTTCTCTCAGATTGATGAATGCCAACTCCTCGTAAGTACAGCGCGCGTGCCCGGTGCTTCATTAGCATAGGTACTTAGCATAAGTAACCGCCCACTAATGCCCATATAAGGGGCTGCAGGGCCGTGTGCAGACGCCAGAGGAAACAGCAACAGGCCTAAAGCAAAGAGTTACACGGAGCAAAAGAGTCACGCTTTTTACTTTTTTTGCCAAACTGATATTAGAGTCATAAAATGTTGACTTTAAAGTCGAAATATTATGATAAAGTCGAACTAGCAAAATTATGAGATTAATCTTACAATGTTTTGAGCTTAATTTAAAAATATATTATGTATTAATTTAAAAATGTATCTCAAAATATTTTGGACCCTGGGAAGAGATCCAGCGCGGACCAGCGCTGAGACCAATGCAGACCCGAGGAGAGACTGAGTGACCAGCACACAGAAACCAGAGCGGACAGGAGAGACCGCATAGACCTGACTGGAGAGACCGGTGTGCAGAGACCAGCGCGGACCGAAGAGAGACCGCATGGACCAGACTGGAGAGACCAGCGCGGACCCGTATGGAGAGACCGGTGCAGACCCGTCTAGATCCATGGGAGAGACCAGTGCAGACCCGTCTAGATCTATGGGAGAGACCAGTGCAGACCCGTATAGATCCACGGGAGAGACCAGTGCAGACCCGTATAGATCCACGGGAGAGACCAGTGCAGACCCGTATAGATCCACGGGAGAGACCAGTGCAGACCCGTATAGATCCACGGGAGAGACCAGTGCAGACCCGTATAGATCCATGGGAGAGACCAGTGCAGACCCGTATAGATCCATGGGAGAGACCAGTGCAGACCCGTATAGATCCATGGGAGAGACCAGTGCAGACCCGTATAGATCCATGGGAGAGACAAGTGCAGACCCGTATAGATCCATGGGAGAGACAAGTGCAGACCCGTATAGATCCACAGGAGAGACCAGTGCAGACCCGTCTAGATCCACGGGAGAGACCAGTGCAGACCCGTATAGATCCACGGGAGAGACCAGTGCAGACCCGTATAGATCCATGGGAGAGACCAGTGCAGACCCGTATAGATCCATGGGAGAGACCAGTGCAGACCCGTATAGATCTATGGGAGAGACCAGTGCAGACCCGTATAGATCCATGGGAGAGACCAGTGCAGAGACTCAGCGCGGACCCCGCAGCCTGGGGTCACTAATACATGGCAAGATTTCCAAAATGAATAAAAAAATAGGCTAAATTACCATAAACAATTAAAAAAGTGAATACATTCATCATTATGACGGACATATCACTGTAATGTCACTGTTCGTAGGATTTGTACTCACCCAAGAGAAATTCTGGTTACGAGAAAATTTCATGAATGCCACAATCTTTGTAAAATCTTCGTAAGTAGGATTTACGCATAAATTTGTTCTTAAGTATGGTTCGTGAATGAGGCCCAATATTTTCAGTAACAAAAAATGGAGTTTTGACTTTCCAGGTAAAATGCAAATGGTGAAGATCTTAGAAAATCAAAAAATCAATTTTCTAAGATCTTCACCATTTGCCTTTTACCTCCAATTGAGCACCTGGTCTTTTAAATAATTGTTCACGCTTGTTCCACGCAGCACTCCTTACCCTTTGCTTTTTGAGACATTATTTTCAGTTTGGGCATTATGAAGCTGCTAACTGGGCAGAGCTTATAGAAATTCAATTCTCCATTCAAATTCCCAAGAATTTTATAAAATAAGTCTTAAAAAATATTGAAATCTGGTGAGTAATGATCACAAAACCTTACGTTTTAAGTTCTTTGTCAATAGTAGCTCGCAGATTGCTAGCTAACTCTCTCTGCAGGACCCATCTCAGAACAGGGCCTTTCTGAGGGGAGTTTGCATGTTCTCCTCATGTTTACTCCAAGCGCTTACTTTCTCCACCCAGTAAAAACAAGTACAATAAGTTTTTTATTTTTTATTTTTTTTTATCCTTGAGTGGTTTTGTGGGATGGGTCAAATGCAGAGGACAAAGCTCCCTATGAGGACAATAATGCATGACGTAAATTAGCTTCCGTTGTGTCGTCAAACTCTTGATATTTGGAATTTTACCAAACTTCTATGGGGATTTTGAATGGAGAATTTTACTTCTGGAAACTTAGGCCCTAGCCTCTTCACGGCTCCATTGCTTTTTTCCCCCGATAACATCACAGTTCATCAAACCAATCTATCAGACAGTGCTACTATCACTATCAAAGAGGCTGGGCTTTAAGAGAACTGCTAATAATTCTGGTCAACACATTCTGAGCTACATATATCATCAAATTGTAATGTGTCTGGTTTCTTAGTGTACCCTCAGATGTATTTCTAGCATCTTAAACCTCCCATGGGAGACAATAAAGAAGCATCTTATCTTAAACAGACATTTAAAATACACGTCGTTACCAATCGTTGAAGAAGTAGAGAGCAGGAATGCAAAGAAAATCGCCCCAAAACATGCGTCAGACCTATTTTTATCGATCTTCTTAAATGGCTATTTCTAAATGCTGCGGGCCTAACTTTCAGTGGATTGGGCTGTATCTATTTTCTGTTCTCTAGAAACAAAATTACTTATTTTTCAGGACTGATTTCACAACACATTTTCACCTTCTCTTGCTCTAATCTCGTTTCCAATTATGTCTTTGCCTTTCTCTCCTCTCCTTCCTTCCCTTTTTGGTTTTTTTTCCTGGCTGTTTTCTTCCTGCTGCGGTGATGTCACTGGTTGCCTGGGCTCTGATTGGTCGGGCTCTGTGGCTGCGCTCTCTCTGATTGGCTGCGTCCGTGCCGTGCCGCGTGCCGATTGGTTAGGAGTACATCCGCAGGCAGCTGGAGGAGGAGCAGAGGCAACTGGAGATCCTGCAACAACAGCTTTTACAGGAGCAGGCCCTGCTTCTGGTAACGACACACACTTTGTCTTGTTTTGGAGCAAACTGTGTCTGACTTTGCATCTGTCTCACACTACACAGGATTAGGATTAGGATTATGCCCTAACACTTGTTAAGGTTTCAGGTGAATTGGATAAAAATACATGCAATTCACAGCCTTTTCTGGATCTTAAATATACAGGTGAAACTTGTCGGATTAGAATATTGTTCAAAAGTCCATTTACCTCTGAATTCAACTCATGATATGGAGCTATGGGGTGAGAGAAAGTGGTAGTTATGAGATAATAAATTGTAAATAAAGTTGATAAAGTAAATTACTCGTAGGCTGCACAATGGCGCAGTGGATAACACAGTAATTAAAAAGGTCCTGGTTTGATTCCACCTCAAAGAACTTTCTGTGTGGCGTTTGCATGTTCTCCCCATGTCTGCGTGAGTTTCCTCCTCATGATCCAGTTTGCCCTACCACTAAAAGACACGTACAAGAGGTGTGTGTTTGTGCGTGTGACTGAAGGACTGTGGGACTCCAGATGGAAATGAGTGTATTTACAGCTGCTGGTCATTAATACACACTGTTCCAACCAAATATATGAATAAATACATGTATTCACTCTTGCTGAAGTGAGAGACAACACATACACACACACACAAGCATACTCACACATACACACACAATTCTATAACAGTATATAAGCAGTGGAAAAATCAGAATCACATAGCAGTGCGGTAATACAAAACATGACACCACTTGTGTGTTATTAACAGTGTGAGCTGAAGCCGGAGCAGAGTGTGACCAGTGTCTTGTGTTTTTAGCTCTTTTCTGGAGACAGTCCTGTGTTATTTTCACACGTTCGTCTGTAAAAGTGTGACCTTGACCTCAGGCCTCTCACACGACTCTGGTAAAAATATGTTTGGACACTTTCCACCTCAGCTCTTTCAACACTTTCTCCCAGAACTCAACTTGGCCAACAACAGATCATAGAATCGAACAAGTGCGGACACAGAAAATTAATCATTCACAAACCCATAGAAGTCATTGGTTCATAAGGAGCGTTATGACCACTCTCCAGTATAATGAATACATCCTCACTGGCCTTAGACCCTCCTGCATCTGCAAGGAACAACTGAAAAAAGGAGGCCCCTGGACTCTGTGGAGGAGGTGAGGGACAAGAGGCCCCTGGACTCTGTGGAGGTGAGGGACAGGAGGCCCCTGGACTCTGTGGAGGAGGTGAGGGACAAGAGGCCCCTGGACTCTGTGGAGGAGGTGAGGGACAAGAGGCCCCTGGACTCTGTGGAGGAGGTGAGGGACAAGAGGCCCCTGGACTCTGTGGAGGAGGTGAGGGACAGGAGGCCCCTGGACTCTGTGGAGGAGGTGAGGGACAAGAGGCCCCTGGACTCTGTGGAGGAGGTGAGGGACAGGAGGCCCCTGGACTCTGTGGAGGAGGTGAGGGACAAGAGGCCCCTGGACTCTGTGGAGGAGGTGAGGGACAGGAGGTGCTAGTCAAAGTCACCTCCATCATGGACAACACCTCCCACTGCACAGGACTGTAGAGGAGCTGAGGAGCTCCTTCAGTGGAAGAAGGAGCGCTCCCGCAGGGCCTTCAACCCCACTGCTGTCAGACTGTACAATAAGTCACTTTAAGTCACTAATGCACTAGGATTGAAAAACCTGCACAACTATTGCCACTCTTTCTTAATTGCCACTTTTTATTGTCCTGAACAGACTTTTTTACCTTTAATGTGTTTGCACACTTCTGTTTTTTGCACAATCTGAGTGTTTCTGTTCACGCCAAATGTGACATGTACATTACTCCAGTTTGAGATCAATAAAGTCTATCTTATCTTATCTTATTTCCAAAACTCTTATGGGGATTTTGAATGGAGAATTTTGTCTGGAACCTTAAGCACCAGCCTCTTCACGGCTCCATAGCTTTGTGTGACTGTGTTCTGTGAAATGTGTTTTATACGAAGACAACTTATGCTCTCTTTCCCAGTCCATTGTCCAGTCTTACTTTCATCACAATCTCTTGTCGTCCCTCAGGAGTACAAGAGAAAGCAGATCGAGGAGCAGCGTCAGGCCGAGCGTCTGCAGAGGCAGCTGCAGCAGGAGAGGGCTTACCTGGTCTCACTCCAGCAGCAGCAAGAGACCAGACCCCAGGACAAGAAACAGCTTTACCACTACAAAGACCAGGCCCCCGGGAATAACGACAAGCCGACCTGGGCCCAAGAGGTACTGCGGCTCTGATCCAACACCTGGGAATACTGGGATTATCTTGTTAAAGCTGGGGGACGTAACTTTCACACCCAATGTTATTACAGTTTTTCTCAGTCGCTTTGGTGCATTTCTCACATCATTCTTCACATTTGCACAACAGTTAGTGCATTGTTGTCAAAGAAAAAGGCCTAACAACATTGAGTATGAACATTACAGTCACATGACTTAGTCACGTTTTCATTGTGACGCTTTACTCTCTCTGTGTTTTCAATGTAAAAAAGTCAGATCTCGGTGACACTTGAGCACGACTATGAGCACTATACACGACCTGTACGGCCATTTACAGTAAAAACTACAGTAAAGTTACACAAAGACTGTATTTAGAGACGTAACTGACATATATGTATGTATGTGTATATCTATGTATGTACAGTGCCTTTGCGAAAGTATTCGGCCCCCTTGAACCTTTCAACATTTCCCCACATTTCAGGCTTCAAACATAAAGATATAAAAATTACATTTTTTTGTCAAGACACAATCGTGAAGAGGAATGAAATTTATTGAATAATTTAAACTTTTTTAACAAATAAAAAACTGAAAAGTGGGACGTGCAATATTATTCGGCCCGCTTGCGCTAATACTTTGTAGCGCCACCTTTTGCTGCAATTACAGCTGCAAGTCGCTTGGGGTATGTCTCTATCAGTTTTGCACATCGAGAGACTGGAATTCTTGCCCATTCTTCTTTGCAAAACAGCTGGAGCTCAGTGAGGTTGGATGGAGAGTGTTTGTGAACAACAGTCTTCAGCTCTTTCCACAGATTCTCGATTGGATTCAGGTCTGGACTTTGACTTGGCCATTCTAACACCTGGATACGTCTATTTGTGAACCATTCCATTGTAGATTTGGCTTTATGTTTTGGATCATTGTCCTGTTGGAAGATAGTAAGTAATCTTTAGTAAGTAATCTTTATTTATATACCGCCTTTTCACTGCAGATCTGAGTCTCAAAGCGGTTTACAATTGTTATTATTTTTGGGCATTTTATCTCTCACTCCACACAGAGATGGGAGCGGGGCCAGTACAGGAGGCGCATGCCAGAACTATTGGACATATTTTTAGTGGTAGGGGAAACCGGAGTACCCGGAGGAAACCTACGCAGACACGGGGAGAACATGCAAACTCCACTCAGAAAGGCCCTGGACCGACCGGGATTCGAACCCAGGACCTTCTTGCTGAGAGGCGAGAGTGCTATCCACTCAGCCACCGTGCCGGTCTCAGGTCTTTTGCAGACTCCAACAGGTTTTCTTCCAGAATGGTCCTGTATTTGGCTCCATCCATCTTCCCATCAATTTAATCCATCTTCCCTGTCCCTGCTGAAGAAAAGCCAGGCCCAAAGCATGATGCTGCCACCACCATGTTTGACAGTGGGGATGGTGTGTTCAGGGTGATGAGCTGTGTTGCTTTTACGCCAAACATATCGTTTTGCATTGTGGCCAAAACGTTTGATTTTGGTTTCATCTGACCAGAGCACCTTCTTCCACATGTTTGGTGTGTCTCCCAGGTGGCTTGTGGCAAACTTTAAACAAGACTTTTTATGGATATCTTTGAGAAATGGCTTTCTTCTTGCCACTCTTCCATAAAGGCCAGATTTGTGCAGTGCACGACTGATTGTTGTCCTATGGACAGACTCTCCCACCTCAGCTGTAGTTATCTGCAGTTCATCCAGAGTGATCATGGGCCTCTTGGCTGCATCTCTGATCAGTCTTCTCCATGTTTGAGATGAAAGTTTGGAGGGACGGCTGGGTCTTGGTAGATTTGCAGTGGTCTGATACTCCTTCCATTTCAATATAATTGCTTGCACAGTGCTTCTTGAGATGTTTAAAACTTGGGAAATCTTTTTGTATCGAAATCCGCCTTTAAACTTCTCCACAACAGTATCTCGGACCTGCCTGGTGTGTTCCTTTGTCTTCATGGTTCTCTCTGCGCTTTAAACAGTACCCTGAGACTATCAAAGAGCAGGTGCATTTATACGGAGACTTGATTACACACAGGTGCATTCTATTTATCATCATCAGTCATTTAGGACAACATTGGATCATTCAAAGATCCTCACTGAACTTCTGGAGTGAGTTTGCTGCACTGAAAGGAAAGGGGCCGAATAATATTGCACGCCCCACTTTTCAGTTTTTTATTTGTTAAAAAAGTTTAAATTATCCAATAAATTTCGTTCCACTTGACGATTGTGTCCCACTTGTTGTTGATTCTTGACAAAAAAATAAAATTTTATATCTTTATGTTTGAAGCCTGAAATGTGGCGAAATGTTGAAAGGTTCAAGGGGGCCAAATACTTTCGCAAGGCACTGTATCTATGTATGTGTGTATGTCTGTGTACTGTATGTATTTCACATATTTACTGCATATGCTCTTTGCAATTCTACAGCATTGTGCAACAAAAATACAGTCACTTAAGTGTCTTTACATAGAACAAACATAGAAATACCATTATGGTAGAACTGTGACAAACGTAAACAATAAAACACATACCTCGTCATGAGTGAAGCTGAAATTCACCTGAGAAACATTGTTCAATTTAGGAATGATTAATAGGAAAAAAATATAAAGTAATGTATGAAATTAGCTTAACAAATATAGATTTTGAACTAGTTCAACAATTTTATATGTGATACTGAAGCGATGATATTAGGACTATTGGTTTTTTATAGAGAAAGACTATTCAGAAGTGATAAGTATGTTTCATACATGTCCAAAAGTATTTGTAATGTGTTCAAAGGAGAAACTGCTGCGATGATGTCACACATGACTCAGTGTTGACGAGGTTGAACTCATAGTTTTGAGAAGTTTAAGTCTGAGAAATGCACCAAAGCGACTGAGATAAACTGTAAAGTCATCTCACCGGTTCCTGGCTCTCAAAACAGTTTGCTTTTATGTATGTCTTATGTCTATGTAGGCCTTTTTTCACCCAGAAAAGTGAAAAGAATCAAATATCTGCCCAAAATAGTCAAATTGAGACTCAGATGGTTGTTTCTTTCAAGCATGCAAACAAAATAACATGTTTTCTAATAAGATAAAGACAGATTCTTAAGTTAGGTACCCCAGTTTTAAGAGGGATACAAGTAATAAAGATCAAATGTACTGTACAGGTATCAGTCCTAAATAAGGTTTGATGGGAAACCTGGAAATATTTTGTAATGTTGAAATCAAATGCATGCCCTTGATAGATAGTTAGTTCATAGAGACCTTTTGTATGTTGTCTACTGTGCCCGCAGCATGTACACACACATGCAACAATATAAACATAGATGTGCAATCAAGCAGCAGTATTTGCCATAGTTTCACCGTGTGTTGCTATTTTTACAAATTCAAAATGTATTTACAAATCTATTTACACTATATCAGCTGGAGATGGAGTGAGAAAGTAGACACTTATAGACTGACAAAGACAAACCCCTTGGAAAGTTTGCATTAGAGAGTGTTTGGGAAAGTGTTTTGTAAAATGTAGATTATATTTTGCATTTTTCATAATCAGCACAGGGTTTTGAGTTTGTGATTATAGAGTTGGTTTTGTGGGAGTGAAAATATCTATAGTGTCCTTGCAGGTTTTCGCTGGACCTGAACATTTTAAAGTGCGTTCCTCAACTGTCCTGTTGGCTCAATCTGTCTTTTATATTTGTTGAATAATCAAACCGTTCAACCTCTTACATTGGAAACAAGTATGTTACTTCACTGAGTTTACTGTATCTACATATCTCTTCAGAATATGGGTTAGGGTTGTCTACGGAGAGGCTGGTCTTCTCATCGTAAACATCTGTGTTAATAAATCTAACTGAGTGACATTTCATGCAATTTAATACAGATTTGTTGCTCTTATGACTTGATATTATTCTTTTGGACGTTTGTTTAGAAATGTTAGGACACTAGTTTGTGTTAGCATTGGACAAAACAGATGTACGGAATACTCTTTTGAGGAACTGAACCAATTCAATTCAAGATGGAGGCATATTCAAATCAAGGGTTTGTGCTCAGTAGCGCATGTGCAGCCATGGGCACCGAATTTCTTTAGTTCTCCCGGTTCTGCGCAGTGGACAGCCTCCCATGAAGCTTTGTGGTAAATACTAACCAGCATGGGTGTGTAGTTCTCATCAACGTGCACAGAGGGACACGTTCTGACCAATCAGGCGCTGCTGATCAGAGCAGAGCTGGAGCAGGAGGCAAACAAGCAGAGTTTGTTGCCAATGGATGTAACTCAAAAAAAAGTTCAAGGGACACTGAAATCCCAACAAAATCCGATCTTTATGACAGCTGAGGTCAAGTGAATTCATTCTTATTTAGTCTGCAGTACCATGAGAATCCCCTGAGCCCGTGGGTGTTTCAGCTAAAAGCTACTATAACCCTATACACTTATTATTATAGATCCATGGGAACTACTCACATACTTTCACAGAAACTCACACTATATATGTTCCTGCAAGGTATTAGCTGAAAAAGTCAGATCCCGACTCTGGGACAGCAGCGGCTTTGCGTTCAAAGTGCCGATAGCAAGAAGCTTGGACCATAAAAGAAAAGCCGGTCACCACCAGGACAGTAGAGGAAATCATCTTTAAGCTTTACATATTATGACCTTGTTTCAAACAGAGCAGACTCAACAATGTATTTCCTCACTTTAATGAATGAGTGCATCCTCTGCGACTCTCTCATCATGTTTTTGTATATTTAATGTTCTTGATTGTTCTTCTAAACCCGACTGACAAACCACAGGTGATGCGTCGAGCCCAGAGCAACTCTCCTCGCATTCCCCCCAAGAAACACCACTCCTTCAAGCAGCCGCGCGACCCTCATCAGCTGGAGAGCCTGCTGCAGCTGCCCGGATACAAACCCCGCCCTCGCCCGCCTTCTTACCCCGTCCACGGCAGCCCATCGCGGGAAAACCACCACTTACCCCTCATACGCATCACTTGCATGCCAGAGGGGGCCACTAGGGGGAGCAGTCCTGCGAGCTCCAGAGAAGGAAAGGAGAAAGTGTGGGAAGCTAGGCCGCGCAGTGCAGAAGTTAGCGGGTGGAACGCAGACCCCAGGGGATCTCCGGATAACGCGAATCAAAGAGGGGGGAGTAACGGGTTGAAAGCGAGCCAAAATCGCGAGAAAGGGATCGGAAACGATGACAGACCGCGCAGCGCAGAGTGGAAAGCATGGAGCCCAGACCGCAGATCCAGAAGTCCAGACCACGTAGATTTAAAAAGGCGTAGTTTTGAGTTGAGAGATAATAGGGAAAGGAGGTTTAGTCCAGATGTGAGGGGGAGGAGCCCGGGTTCGAGAGGAGGGAGTGCGAGGGAGAGAGGGTGGAGCCCGGATGTGACGAGAGACTGGAGTCCAGACTCGAGGGGAAGGAGTCCAGGGCGTCGGGTCAGTCCCAAAGACAACAGACAGAATCTCTTCATAAACTCTTCTTTGGGCTGCAACTAAAAATGGTGTCATTGTTTATACCATAGACTGTTTATGGATGGATAATGCTAACCCGCTAGATAGGGACGTGATTGATCTACTTACAGTATATTTAAAAGTCTAAGAAAATCTGTGGTTTAACGGTGAAATTCTCACCAAATTTGATATTAGCTTACATGTAGTGCAAGCTGAAACAGACTGGTACCGCTCCTGACCGGCTCTTTGGTTGCTAGATTGTTAATGCCCACAAATTTGGTCACAAAAAATAACAATTGTAAACCGCTTTGAGACTCCGATGTGCCGTGAAAAGGCGGTATATAAATAAAGATTACTTACTACTTACTTACTTACAGATTCCAACATAAGAAAATGACAAAAACACCCACAAAGCCTGTTTTACTTATTTCTTCGGCTTCTTCCTCAATAAAGCAAACGCCATAGGTGAGCATGCGGTTTGTCCACTCTACAGTCTATGGTTAGCACTTGCATGACTGCTGCCTCACAACATCGTGGGATAAAACAGATTCAAGGCCGGTGCACACTTCTCTGTCTGGAGGACCTGCTTCAGAAGCTAAACCGTCAGTCTAGCAGTCCTACTCTTTCTTTTTTTTGTATGTAAATTCTAAGGATGTATATGGCAGAAATCAAACCAATATGCTTTAAAATTGAGTAGAGATGACAACCACAAATGCCAAAACAGGCTTTTTTACTTTCCATAATGACCATGCTTGAATAACATTTCTGTAATTTAACTCTTTTCTAACCTTGATCAACCTTTTCAGCATCAACTGTTTTCTGTCATATGATTCATGATCTTTCTTCCTGATGAACACTGGGTCACTAACATAATTATTTCTCGTCTATCTCCAGGTCTTCACTCTTGCTCGCTGAGTGTATTATTAACCCAATTTTCTTCCGCTTCAACTAACTCTAACACATTTTCTCTTTAAGTTGTCCATTTTAATCAAGGGATGTTTAATCATGTTGTTTTCACTGTTGCAGCACAAAGTTTCAAACCGGATTTCGGACCCGGCGCTGCCCCCGCGTTCCGAGTCCTTCAGCAGCAGTATTCAGCAGGCCCGGACCCCCCCAATGCACCGCGCCGTGGAACCACAGGTGAGGAGGCCAAAACTAAAGACTGAGCCACAAAATTACTAACATCGGCCGATCCTTTCAGCATTGTCCATATGATTTCACTTTCTCCAGCAGACAACTATAAAGATAAGGCCCTAGTTGGAAAATAAAATCCGTTTCAGCGGCTAAGAGCTATTACGTGTCTTTTTACACAGTAGTATTCGTACAGAAGGAGGTGGATTATAGGCAAGAGGCAACAACACAGAATAACTACTGTCTCAGCTGGCCTGGGAACGCCTCCTGATTCCCCCAGATGAGCTGGAGAGAAAGTGTGTTTGAAGAGGGGCAATTAGACCTCTCTGCTTAGATGCTGTTGGTTCGGAAAGTGTTGAGATACACACATCTTCAAAGTGTATCTGTGATAAGGAAAGGCAAGTCTTCCCTATCAGTGTATAGTATAGTGTGTATGACAAGGAAAGGGACATTGAAATAATAACAATAATCACAGTACATTACAAAGAGTGAAGATACAATCCCTCGGTTGTTTGCACAGATGTCCAGGACTGTTTGTAATCTGGATATGAACATTGTCAGAGTAGAAGCCTGTTTTACGTTTTTAGCTGCGTGAATCTGAAACGCTGCCTCCCCATGTTTACTTCTGACTCTGGGCAACAGCAGGAGTCCAGTCCCTGTGCTCCTCAGAGTCCCAGTTTGTTTATAAGGCAACTCTCTGTGCAATTACTTTAACACAGAAAGATTAAGACAGAAGACAGATGCACTCAAAAGTTACAAAAATCTTTAAATGCCTTTATTACACCTAGCAAAAGAGGTTAAAATTATGCCTACGTGTGTCAGCTTTCTGGCCTTCTTCAGTACGCCCTGGGCTTTTAAAGATTCTTTCAACTTTTGAGTACTTTTTCTCTTGATGGTTTGGTGATCTGAAGGTTGAAGCAAACGTATCTCCTGGCTCCATGATGAGGAGAGCGTTCGTATTTTGCCTTGGTATGATAGATTGATAGATAGATACTTTATTGATCCCTGTTGCAGTTTTGTACTTCTTTCATTGTACTGCTTCATGACGGATATAAAACTATGGTTGCTATGGTTTCTTCCCTCCTCGCGCTGTTGTGTGGCTGAGGTAAAATTCCTTCCGTACGGTTTTTGACAGGACTTTTCAGGGTTTGTCAGAAGACGATTACTCCTTTCGCTGTTGATGTTTGTTGCATGGATGAAGCGCAAAGGATCATGGGTGATGTAGTTTGCAAGATTATGTTCCGTGTGAGCTGGTTTTTTCTTGTTGTTTTTTTATTCTTGCTGTTTTAAAGATTGAACCATGAACCAAACCAGGAGGACGCACCAGTAGCATGGCTTTAGGCTCCACCTCCTTCTGCTCCTTTGTCAGAATCACTCTCCTGCTACTCTTCTCCTGCATTCAAACAAACCCAAAAACTAACCGTGCACCTTCCTCACCCATCCTCGCCCTCCCCCATGCCTCCCTGCCTCCCCCCTGTCCTGTCCAGATGGCTCACCTGGTCCAAGTGAAGAGCCATGGTTTGTCTGGCTCTCAGTCGCTGTATGACCCCCACGGCGTGACGTCAGTGTCCCCCTCGCGGCCCCCCATGCCCCGCCAGAACTCGGACCCCACCTCAGACACGCCCCCTGCCCCGCCCCTCTCCCGCCTGGCCCCGCCCCTCGACTGGCTGAGGCAGGATGACGACACGCCACCCAAGGTCTCTGCATGCTCCCGCCGTGTACTGTGTCTGTGCATGAACCAGACTTCTGAGCCAATGTTGTGTCGTCAACTAGATTTTGAGAATGTTTACTTTGCCTTTTTATGTTTAAGAATGTGAAATAACGTTTTAAAGCTGGGCTACTTCACTATAAACCAGCTCTTAGCCCAAAGAGTCCAATAGTGACTCAGAGAGCTCTTTCTTGCAAGTATGCAAAAGATAACATGTTTAAGATCTAATGTTATTCATATAATTATTAATGTATTATTAATAGTAAAAAGTTAGGTTCCCCAGCTTTAAAGGGTAGTAGAGATTCTTTAGTCTTTGTCAGAATAGTTTATCTCTGTAATCACTGCTCACAGACCAAGAACTAATATGTTTTTGGATTGTTCATTTTCTGCTCAGGTTCCTCAAAGGACGACCTCAATCTCTCCGGCTCTCGTCCGAAAACACTCCCCAGGAAACGGTCCAGGACTGGGGCCTCGGCCTGGGGCCCACCTCATACGAGCCAGGTACCTGTAAATTCCGGTCTATAAGCCGTGGCTTTTTTCCTGCAATTTTTCTGTGGCAGTAGACCAACAGAATGAATGAGTAGTTCACAGAGGTCCAATGAAATTGGAAGATTTCTCAATAAAGCAGATTAAGTTAAGTTTAAAAGTCCTCGCTTGTAATATCTTTGAGTAAATACAGTGCCTTGCGAAAGTATTCGGCCCCCTTTGAACCTTTCAACATTTTGCCACATTTCAAGCTTCAAACATAAAGATATAAAATTTTAATTTTTTGTCATGAATCAACAACAAGTGGGACACAATCGTGAAGTGGAACGAAATGTATTGGATAAATTAAACTTTTTTAACAAATAAAAAACTGAAAAGTGGGGCGTGCAATATTATTCGGCCCCTTTACTTTCAGTGCAGCAAACTCAGTCCAGAAGTTCAGTGAGGATCTTTGAATGATCCAATGTTGTCCTAAATGACTGATGATGATAAATAGAATGCACCTGTGTCTAATCAAGTCTCCGTATAAATGCACCTGCTCTTTGATAGTCTCAGGGTTCTGTTTAAAGCGCAGAGAGAACCATGAAGACAAAGGAACACACCAGGCAGGTCCGAGATACTGTTGTGGAGAAGTTTAAAGCCGGATTTGGATACAAAAAGATTTCCCAAGCTTTAAACATCTCAAGGAGCACTGTGCAAGCAGTTATATTGAAATGGAAGGAGTATCAGACCACTGCAAATCTACCAAGACCCGGCCGTCCCTCTAAACTGTCATATCAAACAAGGCGAAGACTGATCAGAGATGCAGCCAAGAGGCCCATGATCGCTCTGGATGAACTGCAGATAACTACAGCTGAGGTGGGAGAGTCTGTCCATAGGACAACAATCAGTCGTGCACTGCACAAATCTGGCCTTTATGGAAGAGTGGCCATTTCTCAAAGATATCCATAAAAAGTCTCTTAAAGTTTGCCACAAGCCACCTGGGAGACACACCAAACATGTGGAAGAAGGTGCTCTGGTCAGATGAAACCAAAATCAAACTTTTTGGCCACAATGCAAAACAATATGTTTGGCGTAAAAGCAACACAGCTCATCCCCCTGAACACACCATCCCCACCTCAGCTGTAGTTATCTGCAGTTCATCCAGAGTGATCATGGGCCTCTTGGCTGCATCTCTGATCAGTCTTCTCCTTGTTTGAGATGAAAGTTTGGAGGGACGGCCAGGTCTTGGTAGATTTGCAGTGGTCTGATACTCGTTCCATTTCAATATAATTGCTTGCACAGTGCTCCTTGAGATGTTTGGGAAATCTTTTTGTATCCAAATCCGGCTTTAAACTTCTCCACAACAGTATCTCGGACCTGCCTGGTGTGTTCCTTTGTCTTCATGGTTCTCTCTGCACTTTAAACAGAACCCTGAGACTATCAAAGAGCAGGTGCATTTATACGGAGACTTGATTACACACAGGTGCATTCTATTTATCATCATCAGTCATTTAGGACAACATTGGATCATTCAAAGATCCTCACTGAACTTCTGGACTGAGTTTGCTGCACTGAAAGTAAAGGGGCCGAATAATATTGCACGCCCCAGTTTTCAGTTTTTTATTTGTTAAAAAAGTTTAAATTATCCAACAAATTTCATTCCATTTCACGATTGTGTCCCACTTGTTGTTGATTCATGACAAAAAATTAAAATTGTATATCTTTATGTTTGAAGCCTGAAATGTGGCAAAATGTTGAAAGGTTCAAGGGGGCCGAATACTTTCGCAAGGCACTGTATCTCATATAATAAATAGTTTTTTGATTCGTGGTATGGACATTAGAGTGAGAAAAGAGATGCATAGATACATTCAGCACATGACTGAGGTTTGGTCCAAAACATCTGTGTAATTTAGATAAAATAGCTGTATAACATTCTAAATGAATCTCTTTGTCACAGATTGTATTTGTCCACATCCTCACACTGTTTCCTTCTCTGTTTGTTTTCCGTTGTCGTTGCCGATGTGTAGCAACCCGGACCTGCGGAGGACGGACGTTTCCATGGATACGCCCCTGAAGAGGACGAGCAGCGGCAGTTCCTCGAGCTCCAGCACCCCGAGCTCCCAGGGCGGCTCCAACGAGCGCGGTAAACACACATGTGGATATTTATAGCCCCAAAGAGACGTACGCAGGGTTCATACAAAGGAGTACCCAGAACTCTCCGATGAGGACACTGTGTGTGACGCCTTTCTCACTTCCTTCTTCAAAGCTGCAGCAACACAACAGGTCGATATTTCCTTTGATTTTGACTGTGTTTTGTTCAAATTCAACAAAAACCGATACAAACAGGTGTAAGAGGAGAATAGAAAATGAGTGCCTTGGCGTGCTACAAAAGGCATGGTCTGTCAGGCCCTGTTTAGACGGAGACGCTGCGACAGTAAAACGTTAGAGTGGGGTTATATCTGTTTATGTAAATTCATATGAGGATGAAAAAACCATGTAGTTCTAGCGCCCGGCCAGTAGTGGGCAGAGGAACTTTACAACACGACACATTCCAGCCCAAGCCCGCTCAGCAGTATGTTCACTTCCTCAACAACATCCTCCTCAGGCCACGGCAAAGACGAGAAAGAACCAACATCATTCTGCATTTAACAACAGCAGCGAAAACTGAAACTGAAACTAGAGCTTTGTGTGGTTTCGTTTGGACGAAGGAGAAGAATCCTCCTCCGACACTTAGTGTACCCGCCGCCATTGTTGTTTACGTTTGTTCTCGGCTACTGCGCATGTCCAAAAGTCCGTGTGGGGGTCAGAACAAACAGCAGCGTATCTGAGCTGTCCCACTCTGTAGCTGGATCTTAACGCTTAACCCTCAACCTAAACGGGGCCTAGGACTAACACTTAAGTACCAGCTCGGCCGGGATAGAGCCAAGGCCAAGCAGGTAATTCAAAAAGTACCTGATAGATTAGAGTTGAGTAGAGCAGAGGAAACAGAAAGCCTTTTCGCACCCTAGAGAGAATCAGTTAATTAGTGTTTAATTTACCCACAAAAATGCCTTAAATGTTTTCCCATTGTTCTTTCTACGTGCAAAAAACTCTTGTAAATCTTTTATAATGTGTCTGCACCTTGAGTCAAAGCAAATTCGGCACGGTGGCTGAGTGGATAGCACTCTCGCCTCTCAGCAAGAAGGTCCTGGGTTCGAATCCCGGTCGGACCAGGGCCTTTCTGAGTGGAGTTTGCATGTTCTCCCCGTGTCTGCGTAGGTTTCCTCCGGGTACTCCGGTTTCCCCTACCGCTAAAAATATGTATAGGTCTGGCATGCGCCTCCTGTACTGGCGACCCAGCTCCCATCTCTGTGTGGAGTGAGAGACAAATGCCCAAAAAATAACAATTGTAAAACCGCTTTGAGACTCAGATCTGCAGTGAAAAGGCGGTATATAAATGATTACTTACTTACTTACAAATTCCTAGTTTGTGACTTCCTGATACTTACAACGGCAAAAGCTGATTCTGGTTCTGAATGCATTAAAAGACATATCCCTTAAAAAAAACTCCGAAGATGAATATATCCAAGTTAAATATCATTTTTTCCACCCCTTTCTTGGTAAATGTCTATTCATTTTCTGTATTAACATATTCTTAAACAACATACAAGATGACCACAATGTTTATATTAACATCTACAGCTGTATTTCTCATGAGTTTTCAACCAGAACATGTCTCATTTGGTTCCAGAGATGATGCAGTGACGTGTGTTGCAATCACAGCAAATACTTAACATTGTATACATTTAATACAATGTTAACAATGTTAGCATGTGTATACCCAGCATACGCAAGACAACCTAAAAGAATCCGAATAATAAATCCTGTAGAAGACGCTAAAATATGAAAAGCCCTGAGCGATTCTCAAGGTTGAAACTTTTATAGACGTATAAAAATAGCCACGGTTCAGCCAGAGATAGAAAGAGGGATTTGGTCACATGACACCAGGAAATTAACCAGGATTATCTCCTCCGTAGGGAAATTATTTGTGTTCAGGTGACGGGCACAAAATGCAGAGAATGAAATAAAAACGGTGCAGAAGAAGACATTGTGCTTTGGTCTGAAGTTATTATAATGACTGAGCCTCACAGTTTTACATTGAAATGTCTTTTTCTCATTCTTTTCAACAGTTTGCAGCATTCTCAGTTTATTGCTCTCATTGCATATTATGAAACATTGTATTATTTGAGCTTTTAACCATTTTACAGCAACAAAAATCAAACTTGTAGATGTTTTAAGATGATATATGATCAACTTCAGACACGTCGCAGTAGAAACCTGACCCTTCCGTTTATTGAATTAAAGAAACAAATATGAAACATTAGCTTAAAAGAAAGAATGATGACTATTTACTTTACCATTTCCTTTTTTAGAATGTGAAATAAAATCTTGAGTTGGAAATCGGTTTCAAAACACGTGTTCCGTCTGTAATTCTCCACGCTACCACTAGAGGGAGGAGTAGAATGTATTATTTATTTATTTTTTTCAAATTTGAAAATTACCGGCTGCAAACATAGTCATTTGATTGAACGATTGGCACAGACAAGGACAGCATTTCACAAGAAAAATAAAATAAATAGTGAGTGTGATGTCATCGTGGTGCAATGACATCACTGAGACAGAAGGGGCGGAGCTACATTTGTGCCAGACATTAGCGTAGATTGATTTAAAAACAACAATGCTATATTATGTCAAAAGCTCAAATAAGTCCATTTTGCATTTTAAGTAAATATTCTCAATGATATAGATTTAAGGCCATGATGCACACACAAAAATCCAACACAAATCTAACATCGTAGACTTTTTCCAACCTTTTCCCGTTCTGTTTCAGGTAAACACGAAGTCTCCACTCTGCCGCGCTCCCACGACTCTAAAGAGGTGACCCGCCCCAGTCGACCCGCTGTAAGTCCCACTCTCAACACTTTTAAACAGAACGCTGGTGTTTACGACTCTGGGACTGTCGCCTGAACTAACCGCTGGTGTGTTTCATTCATTTGCATCTGTCCGCTCCATCCTCAGAGCTATAAGAGAGCAGTGGACGAGGTTAGTCAAATCCATCTCTCTACCACCACATCTGCCTCCAGTACACCCACTTTGGCCTCTGTCACTTCTTTAGATCAGCTTTAATCGACAGAAAAGTGAAACATTCAAGTCCATCCTCTCTCAGCCAATCAGCTCTCAAAGTTATGCTGCAGGCTGATGTGAGCGATGCATTGTGGGATGCCTCATAGCTCCTTACTGGTTGTAGGAACGTCCCCAGTTAAACAAGTATAATGGCTCTTTTCTTCACGCTTCTTTCACAGATCAACAACTTCCAGGGATGGGCCAAAAAAAAAAAACGCTTTAAAATTTCGATTGTAGATGTTTGTGTTTAAACTAATTGCGGTTTTGTATAAAATCTAAGAAAACTATTGGTATTTACTCAGTCATGTTGTTCGTAAGACTGAGATGAAGCAGTCGTTCTGACAGATTTACCCCAGGACCAAGACACTCATTTAACGAGTTATATTGAAATTAAACATCAATTACTGAGTATGTATAAGAAAAAAAATAGATACAAAAATCTGTTATGTGCACTTAAACAGGACTCAGTGGATGAATACGTGTTATTTATACAGTTATTGATATGAACAAAAACACATGGAGAGAGTTAGCTGAAGATTATAAATATGTTTGCACTTCGGGCCAGATACAAGATCGATCAGTGTTGGCCAATAATGGGACGATATGGATTAGTCTGAATCCACCAGCCCCACTCTGCTCTACTCTACTCTACTCTACTCTACTCTACTCTACTCTACTCTACTCTACTCTACTCTGCTCTACCCCACTCTGCTCTACTCTACTCTACTCTACTCTACTCTACTCTACTCTACTCTACTCTACTCTGCTCTACCCTACTCTGCTCTGCTCTGCTCTACTCTACTCTACTCTACTCTACTCTGCTCTACTCTACTCTACTCTACTCTACTCTACTCTACTCTACTCTGCTCTACTCTACTCTACTCTGCTCTACTCTACTCTACTCTACTCTGCTCTACTCTACTCTACTCTACTCTGCTCTACTCTACTCTACTCTACTCTGCTCTGCTCTACTCTACTCTACTCTGCTCTACTCTACTCTACTCTGCTCTACTCTGCTCTACTCTACTCTACTCTACTCTGCTCTACTCTACTCTACTCTACTCTACTCTACTCTACTCTACTCTACTCTGCTCTGCTCTGCTCTGCTCTGCTCTGCTTCTACTCTACTCTACTCTACTCTACTCTACTCTACTCTACTCTACTCTACTCTACTCTACCTCTACCCTGCCCTGCCCTGCCCCGCCCCGCCCCACTCCACTCTACTCTCCTCTACTCTACTCTACTCTACTCTACTCTACTCTACTCTACTCTACTCTACTCTACTCTACTCTACTCTACTCTACTCTACTCTACTCTACTCGGCCCTTCTCTACTCTACTGCACTCTACTCTACTCTACTCTACTCTTCTCTACACGACCCTGCTCTACCCTACCCTACTCTACTCAACTTGGCCACACTCTACTCTAACTAGTTGCGTTTCCATTATGCTTTTGTATCTGGTCCTGTATCCTAGCAACCTACCCATAGCAAACCATGCTCCGGGGACGTTATGCTAACCAGTGCTAACCATGGCACTTCTAATTGCCTTGATGCTCCCTTCTTAAATTGCACTGAATAATAATAGTTAGTTTTAAGAGCACATTCTAATGCTAGCATGTTATTATTATTTTATTAGCTGACACTACTGTTCCTGTGTATATGGGATTAAACAGCTTGTCGTTTCTTCATACATCTCATACATTTTTCTGTCTTTTCACTTGTGTCTCTGTAGGAGGATCTGGTAAGACACTTGTATTGTGTTTTGTTCTTGAATGAGTTTTTTTTAACGTGTGGGCCTTGAACCTAACACAGCAGCATGACGCACTACTCACTGGTCCCTACAGATTCATAAACAATTTACCGATTAGAGATGGCAGAGATTTTTTTCCCCTTCACAATATCATATAGGCTCGTTTCACCGACATTGGGGCAAATGAGTCAAATAAAAGTAGATTATTGGTTGAAGTTGAAAGGACATAAATAAAATTGGTATTTTGAATGAGAATACGACTACTAGGCAAACACGATACTACTATTACTACTACTTCTAATACTACTACTACTAACACCACTACCCCTACATTTAGGCCATTTTCCAGTGATGATATATTTCTTGTAAAAATACAGAAATACCACATACTGCTTCCATCTGGATAGAATGAAATGCAGCTGCTTCTTATCTGAAAAATGACTTTTCCACATTATTCGACGCCATGTTCAGTAAATCCATGTATTTGCAGTTGTCCAAACACGAACACCAGCCTGCCGCTTCCCCAGTGTGAATGCTCTTTCCCAAACCCTCCATTTAAATAATATTCAGACCGAAGCATGACTCCCTTCAAAACAGCCCAAATATATGGTTGTGTTTGTTTTTGACTTTTATGCCTGAACGCGATTTGAAACGTCTCTACAGTGAAACTGCATGTGCATTTTGTCACACAATGTAATGACACTGAATTTTAACAAAATACATACCGACATAACAGAAAATATTATACCCTAAAGAGAGATGGTTGGAGAGAGAGAACCCTGGAGGCTCTGGCCCTCAGTATCAGGCTGCTACATGTTGCAGAGAGAGTTGACACCGACCAAGAGCCAAAACTAGTCCATCCCAGCTCTCTATATACTGGCTGTGAGGTTACTCCCAGGTTCCACTGGATTGGTCAGAGGGGTCAACCAGGAGCAAGCCAGCCCCCATGGAGGGGGGACATGGACATCAGATAATGGGGAATATCCATACCAACACATACTAAAAACCTGAACTAATCATGACACAGATTTCAATTGTAATAGCCAAACTTGCTCTGGTTGCATTTATGTGGCTTCTTTGGAATAAAAAATATAAAAAATCAGTAATAGCTTCAGTAAATGAGTTTTAGCAAGAAATCATAGAGAACAGCTGATTTGTTTTAATTTGTGCCAAAATGTCTGCATAACCAGATCGTCCCTATAACATGAAAATATTACATGCAGGCCCTCGCTTTTCTTTTTCAGAATTCAAATTTATTTTTATGTCGTCTCCCAAAGGAGAGGTTCATGAAGAGAAACAAAAAGCTCCATCTAATATTTTAATTTTAATTACATATTTAAAAGAAGGTCCTTAGTTTGATTCCACCTCCAGACAGGGCCTTCTCTGAATGGAGTTTGCATGTTCCCCCCATGTCTGCGGCGGTTTCCTCCGTGTGCTCCGGTTCCCTCCATGTCCTCTGGTTTCCTCCATGTGCTCCGGTGTCCCCAACCACAAAAAATATGTTCAATTGTTAAAACCCTCCAGCTCTGAGGCCGTAGAGGCAGGATGGGTCAAATGCAGAGGACAAACATTACCCAGTGGATAAATACTTGAACTTGAACAAACATTGGACATGATGGTCACGATATGAATGTGTTCAAGCTGTTTATCCAATCAGAGAACCAAAGTTTGTCTTATTTGGTTGCCAGTTTCTTTGGTGAATTAAAGCAGGTTTTGGCTTGTAACTAAATTCATAACCTCACCATATAACTAACTAACCACAAAGAAAGCAAACATAAACCTATCTAGTCATAACGCAGTTGTTTCTAGATCAACTCCAGCAGGTGGATTAAGTAAGTAAGTAAGTAATCTTTATTTATATACCGCCTTTCACAGACCAGAGTCACAAAGCGGTTTACAATTGTTATTTTTGGGCATTTGTCCTCTCACTCCACACAGAGATGGGAGCGGGGTCGCCGAACAGGAGGCGCATGCCAGACCTATTGTACATATTTTTAGTGGTAGGGGAAACCGGAGTACCCGGAGGAAACCTACGCAGACACAGGGAGAACATGCAAACTCCACTCAGAAAGGCCCTGGTCCGACCAGGATTCGAACCCAGGACCTTCTTGCTGAGAGGCGAGAGTGCTATCCACTCAGCCACCGTGCCGCCCACCGTGCACTGATTACATCTGTAATCAGTGCATGTGTCAGATCAGTTGCAACAACATATGGATTCAGAGTCAGAACCTTCACAGAGTATTTCTTCTCATGCTGCAGAGTCAGAACCTTCACAGAGTGTTTCTTCTCGTGCTGCAGAGTCTTTCACTGAGACATGACTGACTTCCACTGGTGCTGTTTGTTCTGATGGACTTCACTGTTCAATAGATGAAATGGATTTCTTTTCCTGATTCCAGGACCTGACGGCGTTGGCCAAAGAGCTGCGAGAGCTGCGTCAGGGGGAGGAGACGAGCCGGCCGCCTGTGAAAGTGACAGATTATTCTTCCTCCAGTGAAGAGTCCCACAGCAGCGAAGACGAGGAGGGGGAGGGAGGAGCCAACGACGGCTCTGTTGCCGTGAGCGACATCCCACGCATCATGTGAGCATCAGACAGTCACAGTGTGTTAGTGCGGAGCGGGGAATAGAGCCAGAAGGACTCTCTCTACTTCAAATATGTCTTTGAATGTGATCGTTATGGTTTAAGGGGACTGTGTGTAGCCTGCACACACACACACACACACACACACACACACATACACACATTGGAACCCAGTGCATTTGGTATTTGCATTGGTCACAGGAGTCACAGTTTCTCCTGGATATGATGATCTATTTTCATTCATTTGGCTTACCTGCTTCAGAACCAAATACCAAGATTTTAGAGAGTCCCATTTGAAAACAGAGGCTAGAAAGAAACCCACCTTCTGGATCCACATGAGAAAACTATAATGATATGTACCTCTGCCCTGAGTTGGAAGGCAGGCTCTCATTTTACATGATCACTTATCAGACAGTCATATCTCTGATTCATCCATCATTTAAAATGTATTGTACACACACACACACACACACACACGCACTGACGGACGAGTTGCAGTCCGGCCTCCCCCACCTCCCAAAACATGCAGCATTAGTAAAATCATCCAGCTCCAGCCCTGACCAAGAACACCAACCTCTGGAGACGCTGATCTTACGGAGACCGCTGCTCCTGACAGAGGCCCGAGTGACATTGCAGGATGGGTCAAATTCAGAGGACAAATAATATTATACCTTACTTTAAACGTCTAACCGACATATCTGGTTTATAATAAAGGCTTTTCTCTGTGTTCATTTCAGGCCGGCAGCGAGTCAGGGCCAAAACGAGTCGATAGGAGGCTCGGTGGGACAGAACGATTCTCACAGCGATTCATTTGGAAACAGCTCGCAGGACTCCACACTCATGATGAGAGAGGTACAGCTTTAATACCATTGTAACAAGCTTTTAGCATGTCTGGAGTCTATAGGTTGCGTTCATGTGACATCACAACATCCCAAAGAGCCTATAGTTTAACATTGTGGTGGAGGGCCAACACAGTCTGAGGTTTGCCACTAGAGGGCGGTGTGGAGCAGTGATGGTGATGCAGGCTGGGCAGGTGTCAGACAGTCCTGGGTTTTGAGACAGTTTGTTCGGCATGGATTTGAATATTTTAAAAGCAGAAACTGATTAACTAAATGGACGTGGATTGTGGGATAAAGTTTTTTATCAATAAGATGGAAGATCCTTCTATATGTTTACCGAGAAATCACAACAGACTTAAACTTCTGGTCGCGAGTAGCGTAATGTTAAAACCAGTCAGATTCTAGTCTTAGTTTAGATCTTATTTCTTTGTCATTCTTGGGTCAATCCACACGAAACAACATTTTACACTCTTTTTTGAAGAACCTTATTAGCTTAACTCATTGACTGCCAGACGTTTTGGACAATTTCATTGATTTTCAAGACCCACAGAGTATTGTGTGCTATTACTAGGTGAAATATGAAACCAGATTCTGAAAGATTGGACTGTCTCCTTTCATAGTCTCCTAGTCTCCTAGTTTTGTTCTTCTGTAATCCCCAGTCGAATATAGGGAAGTTTGACACAAATCATCAGTCTCAGATAAATGGCAGTCAATGAGTTAACATAGTACCTAATCTTCTTCTAATCACTGTCAAATATTGATCTGGGAAAGTATTTGGAGTTTGGACATTTAACTTTTCAGCATTTCTTACATATATTACTTCTTTCCCATAGAATCATATTTGCGCCTTCCCTTGAACATGAATGCAACCTATTACACGCTGTTATGGTATTATTATTTGCAGTGGAGTCATGAAGTAACAATGAATTAGTCCAGACTTCCTGATCCAGTCTGTCGCTGGACTGTCTCCCTCTTCCACCTTCGGTCAGTGGCCACGGTTTCTTTAGTCGTTTCTATGTTCTTCCAGAGGTTTAGACAGAGGAGGAGGAGCTCTGCCGTCAGCAACTGTACACTCCCAGACCTGGTTAAGCCTGGCCCCTCGCTGGTCTCCCCCTCGGACTCCCATGGGGCCCAAGTAGGTGGAGCAGCAGAGCCCAAAAACATGCCCTGAAATCCTCGCGTTTTCACCCATTTTTTTGGATTTTGAACAGTCCCATCCTCCTGCTCCACGTTTTGTTCCTCACCTGCATCTGCCCCAACCCCAAAGTATGGATTTTGTGTCAAAGCAACATGTAATGGTCTAAATTATATATTTACACTGTACGGTATACTACAAACAATTATGGAGAAAACAATTCAACCATTCCATTCAACCTTTTGCGGTCTCACTCTTTTGCGGTCTCTCTCTTTTGCGGTCTCACTCTTTTGCGGTCTCACTCTTTTGCGGTCTCTCTCTTTTGCGTGTTTTTTTTACAGCGTGTAACAACATCATGAACCACATCTTATAACCGTTAGTACAACAGTTAAATGTATTCAAAGTTAGAAGAAAACTTTTGTGTCTTCTTTGCACCGCTGTGATTAATTCAGAGGACTACTGCGGTCTCCCTGTAGACCTCAGTCCTACTCCTCTCTGGTCTCTCTCTGGTTTCTTGCTCTGGTCTCTCTCCAGTCTCTCTCTCGGGTTTCTCTCTCTGGTCTGGTCTTTCTCTCGGTATCTCTCTCTCCCTGGTCTCTCTCTCTGGTCTCTCTCTGGTCTCTCTCTGGTCTCTATCTGGTGTCTCTCTCTGGTCTCTCTCTCTCTGGTCTCTCTCCCTGCTCTCTTTCTCTGGTCTCTCTCTCCCTGGTCTCTGTCTCTTGTCTCTCTGTTTTCTTTCTCTGGTCTCTCTCTTTGCTCTCTCTCTCTAGTCTCTCTCTCTGGTCTCTCTCTGTCTCTCTCTCTCCGCTCTCTCTCTGTTTTTTTCTCTCTGCTCTCTCTCTCTGGTCTCTCTCTCTGCTCTCTGTCTCTGGTCTCTCTCTGTTTTTTCTCTCTGCTTTCTCTCTCTGCTCTCTCTCTGGTCTCTCTCTCTGCTCTCTTTCTGCTCTCTGTCTCTGGTCTCTCGCTGGTCTATCTCTGGTCTCTCTCTCTGCTCTCTCTCTGGTCTCTCTCTGGTCTCTCTCTGGTCTGCAGCTGTATTTAACAGTGCATGCACAGCTCCTGACAGCAGGTCTGATATCTCTGTGATGGCTCTGCAGCAGTCGTGAGTTCAGGTGGTTAGAAAACTGTCTAAAGCGTGGGAGAGTTTTACAGCCTTAAAACATTTAGCATCTCCTTTACAAATTTAGCTTGTTGCTGAATTTTTTAGAACCTAGCCCCCGCATTAAACAAGGACTGTATAGAACTAGAAGGTGTCGTCTCATTTCAAGTGGGTTTGCGTAGGTTTCCTCCGGGTACTCCGGTTTCCCCTACCACTAAAAATATGTACAATAGGTCTGCACCTCCTGTACTGGCGACCCCGCTCCCATCTCTGTGTGGAGTGAGAGGACAAAGGCCCAAAAATAACAATTGTAAACCGCTTTGAGACTCCGATGTGCAGTGAAAAGGCGGTATATAAATAAAAGATTACTTACTACTTACTTTCTAAGTAAAGTAGACCGTTTTTTTACGCAAGTCCACTCAAACATGTAAAGGTTTTTTTAACATCAGAATCATCACAAAACTTGCTTGGCTTGTTCCATTACGGCAAAATTAATCCCAGAAATATAGTTCCTGCTCCACGTTTGGTTCTTTCCCTGCTGTCAGACCCATAAACATGTTTCTGATTTTTCTGCACCGTGTGTGATTGAGAAGGTTCTAACGGTTGAATGTTTTGTGGACAGTTTGGGACCAACAGCAGCGGGGGGTCCAAATCCTCCTTCACCCCGTTTGTGGACCCCAGAGTCTACGGGACGTCCCCCACCGAGGAGGACGAGAACCACTCTGCTGCAGGTGTGTGTCTGCACGAGCCACAAGATTCACACTGATATTTATCTGGTCTGGTCTCTCTGCCACTCTCTGACCTGGTATGGTCTCTCTCTGGTCTCTCTTTGGTCTCTCTCAGTCTCTGGTCTCGCTCTAGTCTCTTTGGTCTCTCTTTGTTTCTTTTGATCTTGTATGGTCTCTCTCTGGTCTCTCTCTAGTCTCTTTGGTCTCGCGGGTACCTCTCTGGTCTATCTCTATTGTCTCTCAATTATTTCTTTGGTATCACTGGTCTCTCCCTAGTCTCTCGCTAGTATCTTTGGTATCGCTGACCTGGTATGGTCTCTCTTTGGTCTCTCTCTAGTCTCTTTGGTACCTTGCAGGTATCTGTCTGGTTTCTCTCTGGTCTCTCTCCCTGTCTCTCTCTCTGGTCTCTCTCCCTGTCTCTTTCTCTGGTCTATCTCTCTTGTCTCTCGATTATTTCTCTCTGGTCTCTCTTGAAAACGTTTGAGAAGTCGGTTTCCGTATCATGACAAATGCGTGTGTGTGTTCCAGCGTTCGCAGACGAGCTTTTGAAGGCCGAGCTGGAGCAGGCGCGACTGAACGAGGCTCGAAAGATCTCTGTGGTGAACGTCAACCCCACAAACATCCGTCCCCATAGCGACACGCCCGAAATCAGGAAGTACAAGAAGCGCTTCAACTCCGAGATCCTCTGCGCCGCACTCTGGGGTCAGCACAACTTTGACTTTTTGTTAACGTCCAATGTGTTTGTCTTGAAATGCACTTTGTATTGGTGATATGAGTCAATCTTGAGTATCTAGAAAGGCGCAGAAGAAAAAAAAAGTGTTATTATTATTATTCCCTGCGGTGAAAAGCCGACACAGGCCCAAACAACGCGCCAACCTTTCCCACTGTTATCCCAGGTTGGAACACGGATCTGCAGTGGACAAAAGCCTATTCCAGTGTTTCTCAACCAGTGTGCCGTGGTACGTTAGTGGGCCTTGAGATGCTGTTCGGTGTGCCTTTGGAAATGACCCACTATCGCCTTTTTGCTCAAAATATGGGAAAAAGAAATTATGTGAGAAGACTTTTTTGCTCTTGTTTGATTGTCTACACTATACACTTTGATGAGAATGACTTTATATAGTTAATAAGTTTGTATTCAGCTGGTGGTGTATACAAACATATATATCTGTTGATTCTCTGATCTGTGTTGGTGATTTCAATGGTTTTGTTAAGTCCTCTGAGATGTCTGCTGTTGTGATTTAGGGCCATACAAGAATACATAGTATATTTTTGTATTGTATTGTATTGTGAATGTGTGCCTTGGGATGGTTCTCAATGAAAAAGGTGTGACATGGTTCAAAAAGGTTGGGGAACACTGCTGCATTCCCTCACTCACCACAGTGTTGTAGCTAGTGCCGTGTTCTTTGGGGTACAGCGTGTTGGCGGCTGTCTGACCTCAGAGACAGTTACCGGCTCGACAGGCTGATCAGGTAATGTGTCTCTGTGATGGGGAAAAGTATGGACTCTGTGGGAGCTGTGCTGGAGAGAAGGATGAGGGCTCTAATGACACTATGGCCGCTCAGAGGAGTAACCATAGCAACAGGCCCCTATCACTACGCTGCCGAACGGAACGCTTCAATAGACAGACCTGTATGAGTTAAAAATAAGATTGTGTCCTACGATTGATCAATAAAGTTTCTTTTTATCTATCTATAATAATTTAGATTCCTGTGTGTTTTTTGCTCAGGGGTGAATCTCTTGGTGGGGACAGAGAACGGGCTGATGCTGCTGGACCGGAGCGGACAGGGCAAAGTCTATAACCTCATCAACAGAAGGCGCTTTCAGCAGATGGACGTCCTGGAGGGGCTGAACGTCCTCGTCACCATCTCAGGTATCCGGACCCGGGGTTTTCATGATCAAGTCCCGTTTTGGTTTTTGCATCACCTGCTGGTCCCAGGTCAACAAAACCATTGAGACTTTGAGAACCCATACAGTACATAAAGAATATTTACAGATCTTGGACATGAAGACAAGGCAGCACCATCAGTGTCACCTTCTGGACAAATACAGACTAAACTTTAATAACACACAACGGCTGGCTGGGGCCCGCTGGGTTTAGAGGATAACACACAACTCTGCACCTGCTCCTCTTCAAAACTTTGTCCGATTAACATCACGAGTAACAACTAGACGCACACACTGCTCTTCTGGAGAGCAGTGTCGGGTTCCAACACGGCATTGAACTCAAAAATCAAACTAGATACTGTTTTTTCCTTCTTTTTTTTATTAAAAAGAGAACATTAATATGGACATAACAGAAAAAAACACACACACAAAAATATTTTAAAACACATCAAAAAATAAAAATACAAGAGATGTGGTGTGATGAGAGTTTGTGTGTGTCTTTTTAGGGAAGAAGAACAAACTGCGTGTGTACTACCTGTCCTGGCTCCGAAACCGGATCCTCCACAATGACCCAGAGGTGGAGAAGAAGCAAGGCTGGATCACTGTGGGCGAGCTGGAGGGATGTGTGCACTACAAAGTCGGTATGAGCTGTCAATCACAGAGGGAGCCGATGGTGGCAGAGAGAGACCAGAGAGAGACCAGAGAGAGACCGGAGAGAGACCAGAGAGAGACCAGAGAGAGACCAGAGAGAGGCCAGAGAGAGGCCAGAGAGAGGCCAGAGAGAGGCCAGAGAGAGGCCAGAGAGAGGCCAGAGAGAGGCCAGAGAGAGACCAGAGAGAGACCAGAGAGAGACCAGAGAGAGATCAGAGAGAGATCAGAGAGAGACCAGAGAGAGACCAGAGAGAGACCAGAGAGAGACCAGAGAGAGAGACCAGAGAGAGAGATCAGAGAGAGACCAGAGAGAGACCAGAGAGAGACCAGAGAGAGACCAGAGAGAGAGACCAGAGAGAGACCAGGGAGAGACCAGAGAGAGACCAGAGAGAGACCAGAGAGAGACCAGAGAGAGACCAGAGAGAGACCAGAGAGAGACCAGAGAGAGGCCAGAGAGAGGCCAGAGAGAGGCCAGAGAGAGGCCAGAGAGAGACCTGAACAAGAGACCGGAGAGAGACCAGAGAGAGACCAGAGATAGAGACCAGACAGAGACCAGAGCAAAAGATCAGAGTGAGAGACCAGAGAGATAATCCAGGGAGAGACCAGAGAAAGAACCAGAGAGAGATCCAGAGAGAGATCCAGAGAGAGATCCAGAGAGAGATCCAGAGAGAGATCCAGAGAGAGATCCAGAGAGAGATCCAGAGAGAGATCCAGAGAGAGATCCAGAGAGAGATCCAGAGAGAGATCCAGAGAGAGATCCAGAGAGAGATGCAGAGAGAGATCCAGAGAGAGATCCAGAGAGAGATCCAGAGAGAGATCCAGAGAGAGACCAGAGAGAGACCAGAGAGAGACCAGAGAGAGACCAGAGAGAGACCAGAGAGAGACCAGAGAGAGACCAGAGAGAGACCAGAGAGAGACCAGAGAGAGACCAGAGAGAGACCAGAGAGAGACCAGAGAGAGACCAGAGAGAGACCAGAGAGAGACCAGAGAGAGACCAGAGAGAGAGACCAGAGAGAGAGATCAGAGAGAGACCAGAGAGAGACCAGAGAGAGAGACCAGAGAGAGACCAGGGAGAGACCAGAGAGAGACCAGAGAGAGACCAGAGAGAGACCAGAGAGAGGCCAGAGAGAGGCCAGAGAGAGGCCAGAGAGAGGCCAGAGAGAGGCCAGAGAGAGGCCAGAGAGAGGCCAGAGAGAGGCCAGAGAGAGACCAGAGAGAGGCCAGAGAGAGACCTGAACAAGAGACCGGAGAGAGACCAGAGAGAGACCAGAGAGAGACCAGAGATAGAGACCAGACAGAGACCAGAGCAAAAGATCAGAGTGAGAGACCAGAGAGATAATCCAGGGAGAGACCAGAGAAAGAACCAGAGAAAGAACCAGAGAGAGATCCAGAGAGAGATCCAGAGAGAGATCCAGAGAGAGATCCAGAGAGAGATCCAGAGAGAGATCCAGAGAGAGATCCAGAGAGAGATCCAGAGAGAGATCCAGAGAGAGATCCAGAGAGAGACCAGAGAGAGACCAGAGAGAGACCAGAGAGAGACCAGAGAGAGACCAGAGAGAGACCAGAGAGAGACCAGAGAGAGACCAGAGAGAGACCAGAGAGAGACCAGAGAGAGACCAGGGAGAGACCAGAGAGAGAGACTATAGAGAGACCAGGGAGTGAGACTATAGAGAGACCAGGGAGTGAGACCGGAGAGAGACCAAGATGAGGAACTTTGTGAAAGCTTTTGTTTTTCGTGTGGATTGTTCTAGAAATTACAAAATAAATAGCTTAAACAAAGACTAGAAGATTTTTCAGCTGTTCTCCTAATTCTAAAAACTAAAGGCTCTTGTGATGTCACATAAACACAACCTATTCCGTTTCTTACAGCTGTTTTTTTTTGTGGTAAACTAAACCAACTTGTAAGTATTTCTCAGATTCAGACTGATTTCAGAGGCTCCCAAACTATAAGAAACCAGACTGAGCAACACAAATCTCTCACTTACTGTAAATAACCCGCGTTCTTGTTTTCAACAGTAAAATACGAGAGGATCAAATTCTTGGTGATCGCTTTGAAAAACGCGGTGGAGATTTACGCCTGGGCTCCAAAACCTTACCACAAGTTCATGGCCTTCAAGGTGAGAGCCGTGACAAGCACAGGTCTCTACGGCTGCGTGTGTAGTAGTGTGATAACTGTGTGTGGTCTCAGTCCTTCACCGAGCTGCAGCACCGCCCCCTGCTGGTCGACCTCACCGTGGAAGAGGGCCAGAGATTGAAAGTCATTTACGGGTCCACGGTGGGGTTCCATGTGATCGACGTGGACTCGGGAAACCCCTACGACATCTACATCCCCTCACACGTAAGCGCCAAATCAGAATATCTGTAGTTTTTTTTTTTTTTTTATTAAATTGTGTCATTAAAACGCCTGAAAATCTCTATGAATACTGAAACATAAAGAATTCCTCTGTATCAATGAACAAAACCATACCGTAGTTTTTGGCTTCATCTTTAACTAATGTTCCAGAGACTTTGCTGCAGAGAGATTTTTATACTTTTAAAACTTTTTTATGTCTCCAAATTTGTTCTGAGCATTAAATCTGGAGTGCAGTGATGCAGCGGTTAGCTTCGCAGGAAAAAGGTTCTGTTTATATGTCCTCCCAGTGTGTCTGTGTAGGTTTCCTCCGGGTGCTCCAGTTTCTCCTACCACTAAAAACATGCACAATATGTAAGAATTTAGTGAGTGAATGAAAGGATGGTTGGTTAGGAGGTTTGATGCACCAGTGTGTATGAATGGAACAATATCTGAACTCTGAACAATTGTAAAGCGCTTTGAGTGACCTTGGTCTGTAAAATACGCCATATATATAAAGATTACTTACCTACTTACTTACTTACTAAGGGCCTAATTGTATTTAATATGAAGTATTGCTATAATTACATACAGAACTGCTCCATATCACACACACACACACACACGCAGAGGCAGACACAAACACACACACACACGTACATACACACACAGAGGCAGACATACATATGCAGACACACACACACACACAGAGGCACACACACGTACATACACACACAGGCAGGCACACACACGCACATACACACACACAGGCAGGCACATACACGTAGATACACACACAGGCAGACACACCCTTACACAAACACACAGAGTCAGACACACACATACACACACACAGAGGCAGACACGCGTACATACACACACAGGCAGACACACCCTTACACAGACACACAGAGTCAGACACACACATACACACACACAGAGGCAGACACACACTTACACACACACACAAACAGAGGCAGACACACACACACACACACACACACAGAGGCAGACACACACGTAAATACACACACACACACACAGAGGCAGATACACACTTACACACATACACACAGAGGCAGACACACACACAGAGGCAGACACACACTTACACACACACACACAGAGGCAGACACACGTACATACACACACCCACACAGAGGCAGACACACACTTACACACTTGTACACACACAGAGACAGCTACTTTACCAACTATCACTGGCCTCTGCTCCCTGAGTCTTGGCACACCCTACAACCCCCACGAGTGCTCACACAATCCAGGGCAAGGGCCCAAATGAAGGGCTAGAGTGAGAACTGGGACAGGTCTTTAACCTTATGTTTTCATAGATAACACATTTGTCCCAATGACTTAGATCACAACATGCTGTCTCATGACAAAAATAATAATAATAATACCTTTTATTTATACAGCGCCTTTCTGGGCACTCATGGTCGCCTTAAAAACGGTACACGGTCTTCATTGTATTAGAAAACATTTGCTCTTATACATACTTGTTAGGGCTCTTAGGGCTGAGAGATGATTGGCTGAGTGAGGGTGGTTCTTTCTTTGTCACATTTTTGTCTAAAGCCAAAAAAAACGTACATGTGACACCAGGAGTTGAACCAAACTGTTTGAAGAGCGAGGAACTTCTTTGGTGGATTTTATTCTTACATTTGTTTGTGGTTTAAAAGTTGTGTACCCCTTTTTATCACATTATTGCTACAAATGGCTTGTGTTGTTATTCACACAGCTACCAGTAGATGGCAGTGTTTCTCCACTATCTCTGATCTTTTGGTCTCATTTATAGTTCTAACCCCACATTTACGCTTTTATAAGTTTTAAATTGTCCGTACCATAACACAACTTTCACGCTCATTACAAGGAAGGATAATTTTGTATCTCCACGCTTCTCCTCATGGTAACGTTTTGGTCATGTGGACGTCTTCAGATCCAGGGCCAAGTGACACCTCACGCCATCGTGATCTTGCCGAAGACTGACGGGATGGAGATGCTGCTGTGCTACGAGGACGAGGGAGTTTACGTGAACACTTACGGCAGGATCACCAAGGACGTGGTTCTACAGTGGGGAGAGATGCCCACCTCTGTCGGTGCGTCACTCTGTCATTCTCTGCTACACACACTTTCAAACTGTCCCTGCATGAAGTGACTTTGTGAGTTAACTACAGTCACTTTAGTACAGGTGGGGCAAGTTGGGATATCATTATAATGTGAAGGGACGGAGCCTTTTTACCCAGTTTTATTTGACTATTTTACAATTTTCAACAATATATTTGTTATTTATTGGGAAAGCTACTTCAATAGAAAATTATGAAAGAAAATGTCAAAGAAGCGAAGGAGAGGGTAACATGGAGCCATCATTGACACACAGACCATGGCGTTAAGTGGACAGTATGAGGTCGGAAAGGACCAGCTGGGAATGGTCTGGGGGCCACATAGATACATGAAAGAGACCACATGTGGCCCTCAGCCCACGGTTTGCCCAGGTCTGCTTTAGCAACATGTCCAATCTTACAGTTAGGGTTTAATGTAGTAGGTTTCACTACATGTACGCAGAAAACACAAAGCAGCAGATTCTTAACAAATCTAACATGTTTAGGGCAAATCTATCAAAGCTGAATCATAAAACATAAAATAATGTCATTTTGAACAAAGTGAACATTTGTTAAGACGCCAAACATCAGCGATTAGACTGTCTCCTTCTTCACTGTTCAATGAATGTGTTTTCGTCTGCAGCTTACATCCACTCGAACCAGATCATGGGCTGGGGGGAGAAGGCCATAGAGATCAGGTCTGTGGAGACGGGGCACCTGGATGGAGTCTTCATGCACAAAAGAGCTCAGAGACTCAAGTTTCTGTCGGAGAGAAACGACAAAGTGAGTAAAGCATCCACATGAGAGGATTTAAGCTTCTCTCTCAGCCAGTAAATATAGTACACATGTGTATTTAGTAATCAGCGTGTTAAAGTCTCGGGGCACACAGGTAGGGTTGCCAACCGTCCCTTGGAATACGGAATTGTCCCGTATTATAGAAAAACTATGTGCGTTCTGTATTGAACACGCACACGCACACACACACACACACAGTAATCACAGTTTAAGCGTGTCAAAGGGGCGTAGGCTTGATCACATCCATGGGTTTACTTTTGACAAGTGGCAGCGTGGGCCGTGCCCGCAGCATCATCACAGCAGAAGTTTGGTAAAGTAGCGTCATAATCCCAGATTCGGATTTCTACGGTCAATAGCTCACGGAAGTTACTTTGTTAAACAAAAATAATTGTGCTAAAATGATCATCTCTACGCTGATTTTTTAAATCCATTGCGCTGTTTTAATGCAGAGAAATCCATTGAATCCAATGCACTGCAAGCGCCGAGAAAAGCGCTTAGGGACCGTCAACAAATGTCCAGACCAGCTTTGTAAACGAACAATAGCTTTTACTGAAGCCGTGTACACGCACTAAACTCTCAGACAATATAAATAATGACCATATCTAACTGCTACAGACTTTGATTTCAACATTTGTGAGGTTTTTTAATGAATACATATGTTTTTATTTTATTTTTTTATTTTACAGTAAATGGTCTTTACTGTAACATACATAATGTATGTTACAGCGTTTGTCTTTTTTTATATATTTTATTACTAATAAGAATGCATTACGTCCTTAACCAGCCAAAGAGTTCCACCTGTTTATACATTTAATTTTTGCCTAAGGATTTGTTTTTTTTAATATGTAGTCAATAAATTACATTCTAAAAACTCTGAAAATTAAATTCCATGATAGATTCCATGATAGGCGGCACGGTGGCTGAGTGGATAGCACTCTCGCCTCTCAGCAAGAAGGTCCTGGGTTCGAATCCCGGTCGGACCAGGGCCTTTCTGAGTGGAGTTTGCATGTTCTCCCCGTGTCTGCGTAGGTTTCCTCCGGGTACTCCGGTTTCCCCTACCACTAAAAATATGTCCAATAGTTCTGGCATGCGCCTCCTGTACTGGCGACCCCACTCCCATCTCTGTGTGGAGTGAAAAGACAAATGCCCAAAAATTAACAATTGTAAACCGCTTTGAGACTCAGATCTGCAGTGAAAAGGCGGTATATAAATAAAAACTTACTTACTTACTAGATTGAAATTAGGAATAAAAAGTGCTCAACCCGATCCACCCAAATGGCGTCCCTTATTTTTTTGTTCTCAAGTTGGCAACCCTACACTCAGGGAAAATGAGCTCAGGAACGACTTCTTTAATACATGTTTTTATACTTCTCTGGCAGGTTTTCTTTGCGTCGGTGCGGTCCGGAGGCAGTAGTCAAGTCTTCTTCATGACTTTGAACCGGAGCTCGATGATGAACTGGTAACGGCGGCTTTTGCCAACGATCGGACAAACTGACGAATGTCCGACAGCGGATGGCGTCAGCGGACAGCGCGAGAGAGATTTTATAACGGAGGAAAACAACAAGCTGCTACAGGAAGAGACTCAGACACAGACAAACGTAGATCTGTGGACGCCTCTTTAGCCTTTGGAGAACTTCTCTTTGTAGCTGACATTAAGCCACTGATGGTTCACGGTGAGAGGAGCAGCAGCCGATGTGGAAGTAAGACAGCTCTCAAGTCGGGCGCTCGAAGAAATCCGAAACGAGATATTAATCAACGCTAAGGCTCTGTCCACACGCAGACGAAAGAACTAGATTTGAAACCGTCGGGAACAAGCTCTGTAAATGTATCCGTCCACACAAAGCTGAAGGTGAATGAGAGCAGTGTAATGTACGTAACAGGCCTGAAGGCGGCGCTGTGGGGATGCGACAGGAAACACAAAATCAGACAAAGAAATACGCCGCCACCCCTCCCCCTCTAAAGAAAACAACAGCACTAACAGCTGCATCAGTTAGACCCGCCCCCACTTCTTCCTGATTGGACGCAATTAATTCAAACGCTTGAGTGACAGCTGAGGCCTCTCCTGATTGGTCGAACTATTCTCCTCCACTATAGTACTAGTGATGGTTGCTTTAGAAATAATATTGAGGAAAAAGACTTAATTTAAATGATACTACAAGGTCATGTGATCAAAATTATGTATTCTTGTGAAAATTACATACAAAAAATTACTCTTTAGTTCTTTATGACACTTGGGGCAGTGGAGGATCCTGCAGTAAACTTTATATTTTGACCACAGAGCTGCAGCAGTGATGGCCTTGGGATTAAAAAGTTCAGTATTTGATGTGAACACAGAGATGTGGCCCGTGTGGCAACTATAAACTTCTCCACTCTAGGACGAGGTTTCAGGTTTCATATTCATTTAGAGAAAAATCGTCTCCGTCTGGACAGGGCCTAAAACTAGAATCAGAACTATATACTCATTTGAACATGTAGTGATTTAAAAACTGGGAAACAAGTGGACTCTTCCTGAGCAGAGTCCATACGATCAGAACCATGGGCCATTGAAAAGTGCGGGAGACTTTACTGTTGTCGCGACCCAAAGCAGTTGGCTTACCCTGGAACTGTATAACTTTATTTATATAGAGAACAGAAGTGAGTAGTAGTAAAAATAAATACAGTTATATAAATGTACACGTTTATTATATCCCTTTTCCACCGAGGAGCTTGGTCCAGTTCTGGACTGGTCCTGGTCTTGGTGCTGTTTTCAGTCGGTGCAAGACCAGTGTCCGTTACCATGGCAACACACCTTTTACTAGCAGCTGTTAGCATTCGTTAGCTTCTCCGTTTTTGCTGTATTTCAGTTTAACGTAACTTATTTAAACTTCTCGATTACTTTTGAGAAGGTGTGAGATTAAATGCAATTTCAGCCAGGCCTGAAATTGCATTTAATCTGAACCATAGACTGTATACAGATGGACAATGCTAACCCGCTAGCTCAATGAAGGCCAATAGGGAAGTGCTCATGGATGAAGTTTTGCTCCAGCTTAAATTCAGCTTCCTCAGCATTCGGCAAACACTATGGATGACGTCAGTATTCAGTCAGTCCACTCCTAAGATACGGCCTCAAGTCTGAATGGTTTCCGGAAGTAAGTCCCAGCATTTTTATTGAAAACTAAACGACTGGTTCTGAAATGGAAACCGACCCCAGCTTGGTGGAAAAGGGGTATTTGTGTTCCCAAAGTCGTTCACAAAAATGCAATAACTGTCTTATACTTTAGTATCAGGATTGTATGCATACTCCTACAGAATTATCCTGTAAGTCCAAACCGATTTGACACCACATCTGTCAATCACCCGCAAAGCCCGCCCCTAAACCGTAGCTGTAGCTGGTGCTCCTCTCAGTGTGACCCCGTTCCATCGCGTGCTGCTGCTCAAAAACTTTACATTTTGACTTTTTAAAGAAATAAAACAAAAAAATACACTAACTAACATGAATTTGCAGACAGTTGTAGATAGTTGACTGTGGTTTTCAGAGCGGCACAAGACTTTTCACCCGAAGAAAGTGGCGACATTTTGTTTCTTTCCTTTTAAACTATTTTTTCAGTTCAGATTCACCGCAAACATGTAAATACACACCGCTGTCAACGATGGAATTTACAATAAGGGACAAGGAACCAATGGGATCGATGTATATTTCCTTTGAAGGTTTGAAAGTCTCTGCATATATTTGGTGCTTTCGAGCTTACTCCATGTTCAATTTTCCATTCGTTTCAATGAGTTTGTCCTGATGAAAATACGTTACTTTAAAGTTACTTTATACACACAATTACCAAGCCCTGGATTCTCAAATGGTTGATTTTCATGTTTTTACAAAAGTGAAGTTGACGAAATGGTTGGTGTGTTTTGATAGTGTGTGGGAAATTGAATATGTTAAAAAGCTGATAATATGGTCCCAACAAATTACATTGGAGAAATAGGGGCTGGTTTTCTGGAAGTTTAAGCACAATTTCAGAACTATTTTCTTACAAAGTGGGGCACAAAAACCAATGGCATATTTAGCCAAAAATGCAGCCCTCTCGTGGTTATTCTTGGTATCGGCAGTTGCTTATTAAAGGGGACAAAACATGCAAAAATCATAGCAGTAATTTATCAGCAATAAAACTGTTTTCGAGCCTCGCATGTGTGTCGGGGGAAGTTATAAAACTACACGACAACACTTAACGACAGCGGAAATGAGCCAAAAGTCAAGTATCAAAGTGACCGTCAAGGTTTGGGCTGCTGCAAGTGCTGCTTTTTCCTTTATAAAGCTGTTCTTGTGAAAAACATGTTTAAAATTTCACAGAGAGGATGAACTCGGCGTAGTCCGTTTAACACTGGTTCCTCGTTTATTGCTGTAATGAGCGAATTCTGAGGAAGTAGCAGCGATATGTTTTAAGGCTGTGAAACCCCAAAAAACACACGTGTGAAAACTGTTATGTCCTCTTTAATGAAATGATACATTAAGAATTATAACTTGAATATAAATAGACTACTGGACCAGCCGAACTACGGAAGGTCACACTAAAGCATTTACTGTTTTAACGGTGCTTTTTAGGAAGCAATACTGGAGAACTACTACTTCTAAAACTACTGCTGTTATGTATCTACAATCGGATTTATGTCACATTTGGTAGATTTGAACATATTTAACCCGCTGCACTGTGTAGATTTTCTGTAACCTCTGTCACTAACATTTACCGTGCGAGCCAAATATGGTTTTGCAACAACAGTAAGAGATAGGGAGGGGGCGGAGCTTAGAGTTAGAGTAGGAAGGAGGCAGTTGAGGTGGCTCCGGCATGTGTTTGGGATGCCTCCTGGACGCCGGGCATGTCCCACCAAGAGGACCCCAGGGGACGACCCAGGACACACTGGGTTAGCGGAATAACGGATAGAGCGGAAGAAAATGGATGGATGCTGTTCCAACAAAATTACATAAAAAATGCATACAATTTCAACTTTTCTCTAATATTATTCCACTGTTTTGCTGCTAACAGTTCAACCAGCTATTTACTTCAATACAATTCATTTCAAACTGCTAGCGAATATTATGTACTTGCAATATTTGGGACTGAAAAGAAAGTTACACAGTGCAGCTTTAGATTAGACGCTTTGAATATTACACACATTTATCAAAGCCGGTGTAATTTTGCCAGAAGACGTGGGACATCTTACTTTTGTTCAATGCCTTTTATCAGATTTGGAATATATATTATTATCAATCTGCACCTTTTCTTGATGTTTACACTAGTTACTCTCATGACTCGATAACTGGATGTTTTTCTTGTGTTTTTGCTTTTCGAGAGATTCATATATTGCGTTTGTACCTGCGCGATGAGAACGACATCAGGCCGAGAATCAGATGCACTGGGAAACTGCTTTTTGTTCAAACCTGGCTTTTTGACATTCATCATATGGACTCAGACTTAGTGCTTGCATTAAGGACTGAAGAGGAGATAAAGAAAACACAAAGTAAACCTGGATATTGTGTTTTGAACTAGTGCGGCCTGTGATTTTACTGTCGACCTGCGTCAATCTGGTCAAAAACACACTCACCATATTTGTGCTGAACAACAAAATAACTACAAATAACATTATCAGACCTGCGTACAACCATTTAACAACTGAACTAGTCCATGGTTGTACTAGAATGTGTTTAAGATTGTATGCATTGTTTATTTAATCAACAAATATGCAAGTTTTGTAAAATGATGACGTCACACTCACTAAATTCTTGTATTGGCTCATGACAGTTAATTACTTTTCACAGTCAGAACTAGTTTTTTTCTGGGAACAAGGCTAAATGTATCTTGGTAGGAGTCAGTTCGGCAAAAAAAAAAATGACACCTGACAATTTTTTCCATATATTATACATGGTTTTGTGCTGAGAGAAAGAGTCAGACCACATCAGCCTCTCTTTGTCTTGGTAGAAAACATTTTATCTTTTGTATTTTTGTGCGAAAGAGCCCCATGAGTCGCTGATTGACTCTTCGGGCTGAGAGCTGATTGGCTGAGTGCGGGTGGTCCTCTCTTTTTCACTTTCCTGTCTGAAAAATCTACTGAAGTGATTGAGTGATTATGTAAAAGCCATAATCAACCAGACAGTTTTTAAGAATGAAAAACTAAGGATTTGGAGTTACGACATTTTTTTGTGATTTGAAATTCAGGCACCCCAGCTTTAATCTAACACCTACATTCATTGTATAGCTATAAACAGGAAAAGCTTTGAATTTTTATTGAAAAAGTATTTAATATATCTAGGTCTCTCCAGTGTGATGTCATGACAGAACTTCCTGGTTTTACTTCCTGTAGTTTTCAAAGACGTTTACAAACTTCTTCCTGATTGGTGCAAAACTTATAATGTCAACAGATGTTATTCCATCAAACAATAATGGAATATAGATGCAGAAAATTCTTAAATCCAGGCCATATTCCCTTCAATGTCATATCAATTGAAATCCATGACATTCAAAGATTATTATTGTTAAGAGCACATAGACATAAAAAGGAGAAAGAGAAAAATCAAGGAACAGATAAAAACGTGGGAAAGTGACTCAGTGCATCTTTCTTTAGGCCTGGTTGTTCTCGTGCAGTGATTGCGCCGTTTCGAAGCCTTTTACATTGAGTTAAGTGAGAAGGCAGGGTCTGACTGACTGAGAATAGAAAAAAGATATTATAGTATATACTGTAAGACTATTGAGGATCATTTTAGTGAAAGACAAAAAAATAACGTCACTTATTACGAGGAAACTTAGACGTCTTTCTACAGAATAGAGAAAATAGCTATAAAGATTTCTTAAAAAACAAAAAAATGACAATGTTTTTATCGTGGTATTATTTGTAATTCAATTTTTGTATCCAGACTGTGAACGTGTGTTGAATGTGGCGCGTGTGGATGGACGGGTGAGTGTGGGAAGTGCATGAGCGTCTGTTTTCACTTTTGTCCAAGAATCACTGAGTCCTGGTCGAGGGAGCGGCTCTCGTCTCGACCGGGGGACGCACATCTGTGGAAATGTGATGGAAACTCAACAATAAATGTCCTCCTTGTACAGCACACAACACTCTCTGTCTTATTTCATTCATATTATATTTAAAGCTCAGGTCCCTGATTTTACATCTGCAGAGAGGTTGAACTTATCCGCATAATTAATAATCTATTGGTTTTAAAAAGTGCTTTTCAGGACCCTCAAAGAGTGTCTCACCGTGTATGGAGTCATTATTCACTCCATATATGGTGGGGATAAACTACTGCTGTAGCCACAGCTGCCCTGGGGTACACTGGCAGAAGTGAGGCAACAAGTATGTAGCATCAGCTGCTTCATTCACCAACTTTTTTGTAGGCAATGCAGGTGAAGTAGCTTGCCTAGGTTCTCACTTTGGTACTTTACAGTCGCAGGTGTCCTCAGAGGTCTCCCATCACAGTACTGCCCTGCCATGCCATGCACAGCTTCAGAGGTCTGACAGTATCTGGCTTCCGCGTACATGTATCACATGTTCAGTCTGTCATCACTGGCTGCTTTGATTAAAGGATTATGGTATGGATTAGGATGTGCCTTGGGGTCCATGCGTCTCTGCTTAGAATGCTGCCCAGCGACCCGGCAACGGATGAAGCAGAAGGAAAGGAATGGATGGAGTATGGTATAAATTAAATAAGGTTTAATTATTTTTTGGCCATACTTGCATGTGAAAGTCAGTTCCTGTCAGACCTGAAACTAAACCGGACAGGTCTTGGATAGTACTGTGATGGGAGACCTCTGGCAACACTAGTTGCCACTGGGGGCCGTACCAAGACACTTCACCCATATTAGAATGAGTCTGGTGGGTGCCCCAGGGCAGCTGTAGCTATTAGTGATTAATCACCACCGAGTATGGAGCGAAAGAATATTGACATGTGGTGTCTTTGAATGTCCAAAAAAACGCTATATAAAACCTAAAATTTGTATTTTTATTTTGCTGGTTTGTGTTGAATGGAGTGAATTAAATAAATAAATATTCAAAGCTGGGCTTAAATACTTCTGAATGTAGGTTTGTTAGGTTTTGTGACATGCAGCTCCTACTTAAGGGCCAAATATCGGCCCTTATTAAAGCAACAGTATGTGACTTTGTGGAGGTGGATAATGCTGCATCAGCCTGAGGCCAGTCCCTGTGCTCCTCAGAGTCAGAGTTGCTTCTCATGGCACTAACTAATACGCTTGACAAACCACGAGTGAATTAACTTAGAAGCTTGGCTAACCACAACAAATTCATTGACTCCGAAGCTGGACTAACCACAATACATTAATGACCACCTTAGAAGCACGGCTAACCACATGGAAATGATTGGGCACACTATCTCCTGATAGCTGATTGGCTGAGGGAGGGTGGTCCTCTTTTTCTCACTTTTCAGTCTGAAAATAAGTGATCTTAAGATGTGCCAGGGGACAAAGATGCATACATGTGTAAACTAGTGATAGAACCAAACTGTTGTGTGCAAGATACACGGATTCTATTATGTAGTTACGCGATATTTAATGAAAGTTAGGTACTCCAGCTTTAAGTAAACATGTTTAGAGACATGGCACCTCTGTAAGGGAAACCCACATGACCTAAATTTCCTGTGTGCTGGTCCTACCCCGTGACAGTGCAAAAGGCATAGACTCCCCTCAGCTCAGTTTAGCTGTTTATTTATAGTCCTGAGACGGGGCTGGTGATGCGGGGTTGCCAGGTCAGCTCAGGACCTGGCATCCCTTTCTGCAGCTCTCACCGGAAGCACATAAGCCTGTCCTGCTCGGATGCTGCAGTGAAGTGGGACGCGCATGCGCACTCTCGCTCCTCTTTTCTCGGAAGGTAAGTGTGGCATGGCGCGTGTTTGAGCCTCGGTGGGAAAGGCCAAGTCTGAGGCCGTGTTTACCTGCTCCCAACCCGGTCCAGGCGGCTCCGCGGAGGCCCTGAGGCGGCTGGAGAGCGAGGCGGACGGCTGCTCTGGGGCCTCGGGACACATCGGGGCGGGAGCAGGAGCCGTGCCGAGTCAGGCCAATGGAGAGCGACATGCGGCCTTTTGCGACGCGCTGAGAGAAGCCGCTTGTCATTGTCCGCGCTGTAATAAAACATGGACTTTCACTTGTTTCTCTGTTTACACTGTGTTTATTAGTGCGTGTGACGTCTCCCCGTGTTCCGTGGAGACCTGTGCCCGGTGTGGGTTAGTCCGTGTGGGTTAGTCCGGGTGCAGTAAGGCAGAGCAGGGACCGCAGACGGAGACCTGCCGTATAGTAGCTAGTCACGCTTAAAGCCAGATGCGTTGGATAAATGCACAATGACAGTGCCGTGTGTTTCAGTCTCTGCACTGATCTGTGTCGTTAGCCGTGAACATGTGAGGTTATTGTTAGCCGCGACGTCCCGTTATTTGGCTCTTGGCTGCGCAGTTGTCCAGCTCCAGATCTGTCTCTGCACCGTCTTAATGACGGCTGGGATCTTCCTCATGTGAGGGTTCATGTAATCACTGCTGGCATCAACACTAATGTTTCAGTAGAATCCCTGTGTTCTGCACAAACAGTGTTTGGTCTGACGCACGCACGCGCTGTGAATAGCAGCCCTGCGCAGCCTCGTGTTTAGCCATTACTGCTGCTGCTTCTGCTGCTGCTGCTGCTGCTGCTGCTACTGCTGCTTCTGCTGCTGCTGCTGGTGGTGCTGCTGCTACTACTGCTGCTGCTGCTGCTGCTACTGCTGCTACTGCTGCTGCTACTGTTGCTGCTGCTGCTACTACTGCTGCTGCTGCTGCTGCTACTGCTGCTACTGCTGCTACTGCTGCTGCTGCTGCTACTGTTACTGCTACTGTTACTGCTGCTGCTGCTACTGCTACCACGTTTTCGCTGTAGTCATGGTGTACACTGACGCATTGGATTACAACTAACTAAATTGGCTCACTGACTTGACGTAAAAACGAATTCACACAAACTAACTTCTGTGTATATTTAGTGCAGGACCGGGCCAGAGCTAAAATCGCATTAGGACAGTCAGTCCTCGACCCTCTGACCATGCTCCTGGAGCCATCAGCCATATGACCATGTCAATTAGACCTCTGCATGTTCACTGCTAACACAGCTGCTGCACTTTGAATTGTCATTTCTAAATCAAAATGGAAGTTATGTTTATGTACTTGAGCCAGAAAAAGTAACGTCTATAACTTAGTTATCCAGATAATGTTGTTACATTTCAAAAGAATCATGCTGTAAATGTATGAATAAATCACCATGCTAATGTAAGTTGTGTTTCAGTGCATAAGACCAAACGCACCATGGCAGACCCTGATCTTGACTTCACCACTGGAGAGTCTGGCGCCTCCGCCACCTACCCCCAGCAGTGCTCTGCTCTGCGCAAAAACGGCTTTGTGGTGCTCAAGGGCCGTCCCTGCAAAATCGTGGAGATGTCCACCTCCAAGACCGGCAAGCACGGACACGCTAAGGTGGGACTCATTTTAACTTGAACCCTTCTACTGTGGACAGTTCTTATCTCTCCACTGCAGGCGCCTCACTGCTCTGTACTTTGAACTGTACCACCTCCATTTTACAAATTAAGTTTACTCCTTAAGTAAATGATTGTTCTGACAGTCTATTGTGTTTCGACTTCCGATTGACCCTAGTTGTAATAGAAGGGGCACCTGAGTCAGAAATGTCCACCTCCATTTGTTTAGTTGCAAAGTGTAACACATGTTGTGTTCCTCCTCCAGGTGAACATGGTTGGTATTGACATCTTCACCAACAAGAAGTATGAAGATATGTGCCCCTCCACCCACAACATGGACGTCCCCAACATCAAGAGAAACGATTACCAGGTACACGCTGTCTGACTGGACTGTGACTGGCTCTGGTGACTCGTATCGTGCATTTGCCAGGAGTGATTTTGGTGTGTTCCAAAGGTTACTTTTCTTGTTTGGCACATCTGGTGTTTGAGCCTTAGGTCCATTCTAGTCTTTGAGGTTAACTGGGAATGTGCTGTAAAAGGGCAATGGAGCTATCCATTTTTCAGAGAGGTGCCTGTGAAGTGGGACTCATTGGAAATCCACATGTTTGGTCCAAAACTAGTTCTAGTTGACGACATAATCAATAATACATCAGTTTTCTTTTTCACTTCATTCAGAACTGCAAAACACACTCTGGTCCATCTTATTACCTTCATATGATGGCTGACATTCTTACATTATGTTCTTGACTAGCTGTTTTGGTATTTTGGCTTCACTCGTGTTGGATTGTTTTCTAATAAATGACTGAATATTGAGATAAAGTTAGTTCAATGTGTGGTCGGTGGATTGAAGGGTTCGTCTTCTCCCACATTGTTTGACAATGGTCTTGATTGCACATTATAATTTATATATAATAGAACCCCCGGGAAAGCTCAAAAGATCTTTCATTTAAAGGAAATGAGTAGAAGAACGTTGTGGTTCTTGGCCACAAAAGTAATGAATCGACAGCTCAAATTTCATGTTACAAAAATGGTACAAATTTCCTGCTTTTTGAAAGAAAACCTTGGATCCTAAGACTGTTCCAGCGGCCAGTTATTGAACGAGTTGAAGTAATTATCCAGGTCAACCTTGGAAACCTTTGTTAGTCTTCAGCGCTACTTGTTCCCTCACTCTCCTCGGCTCTAATCCAACTGTGAGCGGTCCCCGAGCCTTGTACAGATACCAGGTCCTTTTGAAATACCCTGGCCCTATCCAGGCCACGCTGGTACTAGAGTATTCTGACAGACTGATTGGCGAGGGTGTAACCATGGCTTCCAGCAGCAAAGATGACTTGCTTGTTGTGGGTAGGTTGCTAGGACACGGTACCTGAAATACAAGTAGAGTAGGACTGGTTAAGACTGCTTTTGCAGTAATTGAGTAAAAGTAATTATAGTCATTTTCCAAACTACTGAAGGATAACATATTGATTTTCTTTGAATTTTAGGTGGTGAACATCAACGAGGGCTTCATGTCCCTGATGAGCGACAGCGGTGACATCAGAGAGGACCTGCGCGTCCCCGACAACGACATCGGAAGAGAAATCGAATCAAAGTTCAACAACAACGAGGAGTTCATGGTAAATCTCCGTCGTGTGTGATGGCCCGAGACTGGATACATTGAATATTGTTGTGAGGGTTTGGAGGACAACTTTCTGTTCTAGTTTTAAATACAGACAATAATGCTCAAGATTGTTTGCATTTCTGTTCAGTTTTCATTAGTCCGTAGAGCAAGTGGGTGCTGTGGAATAAAGTATGTACAGAATTACTTGAACTACAGCAGTCGAGTCATTGGGCGTCATTGAAACGCTCCGAGCCTTGGCTTTGCTCGACTACAGCCACTTTTATTTTGTGACACAATTCCATATTCGGCATTCATGTAGCTAGTGAGAATGTAAACATCTGTCAGTCAAATATGAATGGACTTCATGCTTCATTTTTAGGCTTAGAACAAAGTCCGCTCTTGATGCCTTATGTGCCTTGGTGATCAAAAACAAACATCTATATATAGAATTTGACTGCAAGAAAATGGCTTGTGATCAAAATGGTGGCTTAATGTCTCAGTGGTTGCTTGTAATGGTTACATGGAGAAGTTGCTGCTTAATTTCTCAACTTTTTTTAAGCTAAACTTACGATGCACGGTCCACAGCAGGACGTTCACATTTTCCGTTTTGAAAGCCCTCGCAGTTGGATCTCATTCAGATTTGGTCGCTGTTGGCTCCATCTACTCTAGACATGTCCTGTTTCTCATTTCTACTTCAGATGCATTAAGTGTTGACGTTCTTTCAGGTCACCGTTATCTGTGCCATGGGGGAGGAATGCGCCATCGCCACTAAGGTTCTGGCCAGCGGCAACAAATAAAGAGCACGGCTCGTGCGACGTCGCCGTTCCGCTGCCCTCGCAACGAGCACCACCCACGACAGTCTGCATTCTCATCGGTTCAGTCACCAAAGCCTTTCAACAAACCTCAACTCATCCATATACTCCTGATTTTCCTTTTGCTCCCTGTTTTCTCCACCTCCGCTTGCTCTGTAGTCCTGACAGATCACTATAAGGTTATGTTGGTAACTTTATATAAAAACAACTTTAAAAAAATGACCCATTCGCTCATTCCTGCTTTTGTTTTGCTATCCCAAGTGTTGCCCGTTCACATTCCTGATTCTTACCACCCACCGGGATTTCAGCTTTTGTATGTTTATTTTTTATATTCTTTGACGAAAGCAGCCTTTTAGATTGTGGGAGGGGGTTTAAGTGAGGGTTTTTTTTTGAGTTGTGCTAAAGGCAACAATAATAATTAAGGGAGTTCTTTTCCCACTAGGTAAAATTAGCAGCCATTTAGCTTCCGGTTCGACAGGTGTAGACTGCAGATTGGCTTGGAGCACTTGAGATCCTACCCCAGCATGTTTTAAAGCTCTAAATATATCAAACTTGCCCTTAAAATATAGAACGAAGGTTGATGCCGATCTCTTGTCTGTACAACTGAGCTCAAATTTCAGTATTCCCGAGAGAAAAAACCCACAAATATCAGTGTTTAGTTATTATTGAGGATTGGCGTGGGCCTCCTTTGTCTGAGGTGGTTTGCAGTGAGGTGTGACATGAAATTACGGCTTTTTTTTCCTGTTTTTTTTGAAGGGACTCAATCGGGAAAGGGGAGGGCGGTAAGAGTTGCAAACTTTTTGTTCACTCGAGGCCTTTGTCACCTGACTGGAGATGGCAAAATAAAATGTTAAACAAATGAACAAAAACTGCAACTTATGTCTTGTCTGCGTTTGTTGGTGCTAAAGTTTCAGTCTGAGGTGACATGCTTTTTAGGGTTAAGTCAAATGGAGTTGGAGCAAGCCTACAAAATGAGAAATTGGAATGACGACAACATAATAAGTAGACTTAGAATGTGGTCGTGACATTCTTGCATTTACTTAAAACTAGTTGACTGTAAAAGTTGATGTACATAACTTTCACACCAAAATGATCTATAAACATTCTCAACTGTTTGATTCTGTAGTTCTCACTTTTTTTTGGCCTCATGTCACATCTTTAGATCAGCTGCCTTCAGGCTAAAATCATTCTGCTCTCAGCCCAAAGCGGTAAATATCGACTCCCAGAGCCCTTTACTAGTTGGCAAAAGCTGGACATGTTTTCTGATAAATGTTATGGTCTGCTTATTCACATGTTACCTTCTATTGGGACAAACGTTTGTATGAAGCAAAGTTGGGTACCCCAGCTTTAAACTTAAGGCATTTTTGGAAGTTGTTGGTTATGTGGAAACCTCTCTTGCTGCATCGGGGACACACCCAAAGCAGAGGCATTCCCAGCGATGGGAACAATGAATCATAACTGCGCACGACAGCAGCAGTCACAAGCACAAGGCAGAGAATGGAGACGACAAATGTGCTTTTTTTTTTTGTAGTCAATGGTTAACGAGACTCAGCAGTTTTATTATCAGGGCGGTGTTGCTCTGCAGCTGCCCTTTGGACTCATCACATCCACTGACAGCTGTCTGAAAAGCCCCCAGCATTGTCAGCCCCGGGCCGTGCGTAAAAGGTGCGTGGATCCAAAGTTAGGCCCAACAAAGCACAGATAACTCAACTGGCTGAATAAAAATCATGTTGAGAATGCACATATGCTGTAATACATATTTATAATGGCCATAAAAGTGACAGACTATTCCTGTCCTTGCATGGCCATATATGGAAAATGCACACGTCACTTCCGCCTCTTTCTCCTTCCTGCGCTCAACATGGCACCGGTGAGGATGTTCGCGCTCTGCTAAAAAAAAGGGCAAATTATGAGTTTCTAATGTATTTATGTCCAACTTTTAAGTATTTGCGAAACGCCTAAAACATTTGTGAATGGTGTGTAGTTGATATGGAAAAGAAATGTGTCAGGATAACACTGTAAATGAGCTCACAAAAGGAAGTTAGCCTGGTTAGCATTAGCATTTCTTACACACGTGTCATTCATTCACAAACTTCACTCTTTTGAAAGAGTTGAAAATGAATAAACAACTTTTGTACGATTTAAAGTTCAGATATAGGACAGAAATGATTATTTCACTTTTGGCTGTAGATGCATTTGAGAAGAATCAACATTTTAAAATTCACTGCAAAATCTTTGAGAATTAGAGTAAGCCAAAATGGCATTTAGATGACACGTATTGATTTGATATTAAATCACGCGTCGTTCTTTTTAAGATGAAATTATTTTAGTAGTGAAACAGTGACGGGAGAGTCATTCCCCAAGATTAAAAAGCCCAGATTGTTTTAATTTTAAAAAACAATCAGCAATTAACAATTGACTGGTGATTGTTTGAATTGATTTGTATTTTTAAATGTAACTAATTATTACACTTTCAAGAAATGTTAACATTCTATTGATGTCTGTGATGCACTGTGTGTATATTTTTCTTCCTTTCCTTCTTAGTATAGTTTAGTTGGAACTGATGAAAACCATTAAAATGTAAATTGTGTTTTTCTCAGATCAAGACCCTGAAGAAGCCCACAGTCGGCAGAAGGTCCAAACGTGGAGCGGTGTGGAAGTTCACCCTGGACCTGACACATCCAGTGGAGGACGGGATCCTGGACTCCTCCAACTTTGTATGTCTTAATATACAAAAATCTCATTATCAACCATCAGGGCTTGACATTGACTCCTGCACACACGGTCCACCTCTGTTCAACAAGCTTCAGAAATGATTACACTGAATTCTTCTAATGCATCCATGACCCCTCTTGTCTTTGTAAATGGACAAAGACATTCATATTTAAGGGATACAGCCAGACTACAATTGAAAGGGGCACGATTATAACGCTAACTCAGTCGACTGCTTTGAGACTCAGACAGCATTAAGTAATCTTTATATATATATATGGCCACAAAGCGCTTAACAATTGTAATTAGTCCTCTCCACACAGATGGGAGCAGGGCTGCCAAACTGGAAACCTACAGACAGTATTCCAATTCATAAAAGGCTCTTTCTTCCATTATAGTAACAAGTGGCACAAAACACGCGCATAAAAGTTATTCTTATCTTTAATTGGGATGCAACTTTTTTGTTAGATACATTTCTGTATGCAAAAATTCACATAACTTAAATAATTCTTTATGTTAACTAGTAGGACGTAAAGGAATAGGCCACCGTTTTTACATACTGACATATGTTCTTACCTTATCTTAGAATAGTTGATATGTACCTGTCTGGTCTGTGTCCGTGTGCTCTGTCATGCGAACGCAGCACAAACGCAGCCTCTTCCACAGACTGTATAGTTCCAAATCAGCTCCCGTTAGAAGCTACCAAACTCTTCCACGTGTTCCCTATTTAAAGAGTTACGTGACGTGTTACACTACAAAGTATAGTAACACAGAAATGTAACATATCGATTTTCTCAGCGGATAAAAGGGGGACTATATTGTGAGGCGTAATAATACGAGGAGCGCTACGTCCGCGCACTAACTCCTAAAGACTTCTCTCCCGCTCACGCTGCTTCTATTGACGGAAGTGGGGTGGGCTGATTTGGTACTACACAGTCTGTGGAAGAGGCTGCGTTTGTGCTGCGTTTGCCTGACAGAGCACACGGACAAAGACAGGTACATATCAACTAGTCTAAGGTAAGGAAATATGTCAGTGTGTAAAAACGGTGGCCTATTCCTTTAAGAGTCGTAGTGATCCCCGTGAGCTGCTACTTTGAGGATTTGACTTATTGCGGATTATTTTTAGAATGTAACACCGCGATAATCGACAATCCTTAAACTACAAAAGTTGTGTCAAACCCTGATGGACATGTAATAAATGTGGTTTGTGTTCTGTGGCTAACGCTCCGTCAGGACTAGGGCTCCCGTCCCTAGCTCCAGTACTAGGGTTCTCTTCCCTAGTGGTCACTGTGCTCTGTCCAATAGGAGACGTTCCTCAAAGAGCGGATCAAGGTCAACGGAAAGACGGGAAACCTTGGAAATGTGGTGCAGGTCGGACGCTTGAAGAACAAGATCAACGTCACGTCTGAGAAGCAGTTCAGCAAAAGGTGAAGGGAACAGATGGAGGCAAATGTGGAATCGAACCCCAGACCAGCTAGCCAACATCATGCACATGTTTTGGAATACTGTCTCCACCTCTGGAACATTTCATGACAAATTAATTGGACCTTAGTTGACAAAGATGTGGGACTTTGCACTATTGTGACAGTTGTTGCTCCCATACAGAGAAATTGGCTCTAACTTAAAGATATAGAGGAGAATTTTCTACTTCCGGCTGAATCTTCAAGACTATTGGTCCTCCCAACTGTCAATCATTCTGGTGATTTGTGTTCCTCAAATATGACCAGAAAGTTTTGTTCAAAAAGTGGAGAGGGTGGTTTGGGGAAAAAATCCTCCCATAAACCTTTTTTAAGTTCTGGAAGTTTGAAGTTTTGACAATTTACCATAGTTACCAGGAAAGATTTTTCAGCTGCCTTCCCCCACAGTGTTAAACCTAAGGCTCACTGGAATGCAACCTGTTCTCTCCTCATTTCTCTGTTCGAAAGCAGAGTTTATAATAAGTTTTAAATCTGATCTTGTGTTTCAGATACCTCAAATATCTGACCAAAAAGTACCTGAAGAAGAACAACCTGCGCGACTGGCTGCGTGTGGTGGCTTCAGACAAAGAGACGTACGAGCTGAGATACTTCCAGATCAGCCAGGAAGACGAGGAATCCGAGGCCGACGAGTGAACGGAAATTTTCAATAAAAATATATAATAAAAAAAAAAGAAAGTCTGGTCCTGTCTTACTGCAGTGTCAAATAAGGGCAGCAGAGGGCGCCAATCACACGATGCATTGATCCCCCACAGATTAGTTATCTACGTCTATGCCTTTTTACAGTGTTTTAATGCTTCAGTGTGTCATGATCTTTCACAATAATAATTATAGACAAATTTGATTCTTCTATGTTGGTATTGTACTTGGAACTTGTATCTGCCAAAGCCTGACTTCTGTATAAGTGTGGATTGAGGGAGTGTTGAGATTTGGATTTGAAAGAGATGAAGGACATTTTTGTGCTTGGAAGTGGGCAACAATTTCACCCAAATCTTACACTAAATAATAATGCATTCGTTTTACAATTCATAAAAGCGCTCACATGAGTCAGGCCTTGATACAGATTTTTTTGCCTTTGGGAGAAATCATGGATTTTAGGTGTATTTTAATTGGTGAATTCTGATAATGGTTAAACTAGAATTTGGTCAGAAAATGATACATGACTCAGTGATGGTAAAAAAGTTCAGTATGTGCTGGTTTTGTGGGTTGCTTTTGTGGCGTAATCGCTGAAAGGATAAAATTAGGCCTCTATCATAAAGGATTCGACCATTAACAGAAATTGTGATCATAAAAGAATAAACTGATACACTAATACTGTAATTCCAATTAAAGCTGGAGTACTTTACTTCCTTTTGACTTTTGGTCCCAATAGAAAAAGTCAAAAAATCCTCATGCTGTCTTTATCATACTGTGAGGTCCTAAAAATCTGGGGCCGTATTCCTAAAGATTCTAAGAGTCCTCTCAGAGAGCTCCTATCTTAACCTAAAAACTCCTAGCTAGGAGTCTTAGCTTAAAAGTTATTCCAGAACAATCTTAGAGAACTTTATCTTAGTGAGGAGGCGTGGCTGACCCCGTTGCTAGGTATGAGTCATAACTACAGACGCTGTGATTGGTTGATCCTAAAAGTTGGAGAAAACATACTTTTGGTGATACTGGGTGAAATAAGGACCCTCAAATGGACACATTTATTCATGGAGTCTAAACTTAGGAAGACTGTGTCATTGTTAATAATATTCCACATACAATAGATATATAGATAGTGTTTATGTTGATTCAAGCCACAATTGCCTTGACAAAAGCACACAATATCAGCATTAACAGAAAGATATTTAGATAGATATATATAAACGTATATAGATAGATAGATTTATAGATATGTCAATGTAAAATGAATGCTGTGAATAGTAAGTTATACTTTTAAATCATCATAAAAAATGTGTGATTACTTGCACAGTATTAACACAGTGATAGTTATATATATTTTCTTATATTAATCTCCATGCTGGTCATTAAAGTGTTTTGAGGGGTAAATTTGGCCCCACTGTCACAGTGCAAACCAAGAAGCAAGCATGGGAAACTATCGCACAACAGGTAAATGCTTCTTTTCCACTGATTGTGCGGACAAGTGAGGATTGTGAGAAGCGGTGGTATGTGTTGCATTCAAAAGCAAAGGAGGAGATTGCAGCACACAAACGTGAATCTTCACGCACAGGTGAGTGATATACCAGTTATGAATTTGCTAGTAAGTTAAATAAAATGACCATTTATTTGTGTTCATAACTGTTGCTGGATATCTTTTTAGGAGGTGGACCACACGCTAAGCAACAGCTGTCCCAGATTGCAGAAACCGTCTTTGAAATACTGGGGCAGTCAGAAGTTAGCATCACTGGGCTGAGGGAAGGCATTGACTCTTCAATGATGCAAGTCACTGACATGCAACAAAGGTGGGAAAAATGAATGTTTTCATTTTCAACAACACATAGAATTATCAAGAGCACACAAACATGATTCCTTCGCGATCCAATCTGTAGCGTTTCACTAATTCACTGTCATCCAGTGTTTGTAGAATATCTCTCCTGCCTCTTCCGTCTGCCATCTTGTCCTCTTAGGGAACTTTTAAGTGGCTAAAAGTCCTCCTCAACTCTTAAGGGATCTCACCTTAGGAGCACTCTTAAGAGCTAGGATTCTTTAGGAATAGCTTTTTTCTTAACTAAGATCTACTCCTCACTTTTAGGGGAAATTCTAAGAGTTGGTCAAGATTCTTAGGAAATTCTTAGAATTTGGCCACTAGGAGCAACTTTTAGCACTAAGAATCTTTAGGAATACGGCCCCTGATCTGAAAATGTGACGGAGGACAAAACTATGTGAAAACTAGTGATAGAATATAAAAATAGTTTCAAGGATTTTATTCCCTGTAGTTAATGGTTTGTGCTTTCAAAGTTAGGGCCTGCTGCTTTAGTTATTATCTGTGGGTTTAATCAAAGTGTAAAGTAGTAATGAACACATCGCTCTTCTGATGTGGATCCGGTTCATGTGTTCATCTGGAGCCATCACCCGCGGCTCTGTACAGTAGTATCTCAATAAAGAACTAAACACAGAAATAGAAATGCATTTTTAGTAGAGCTGGGTTGAATCTGCAAGAAGGCTTCCAGTTAGTATTTACTTTTTATATATTTTTTGAAGTATTCGTTTAAGACCCCATTTATCATTTATTTCATTGTGGCCTAAATGTGTCTGTTTTCCATTGGTTAAACGTATTCATTAGACTACTTTACATGTGCCCGCTGTCGATGCAGGAGGGTCTCAGGACATTATTGGACATTTATAGACAGTAATCACCCCGCTCCCATTTCCTGAACCATAGACTGTATATATTAACTTAGCACAATACATCCAGCGTGTATCTAGCGCCCTCTCCTGTTTATTACAGTACATTACATTACAGACCCTGAGCAAAGTGGTCACGGGGACATGTGCAAATTATGGATCTATAATAATAACTGGATAGAGTATTACTAGCTTACAGCTGTCCCACCCATGGCCACAGGGGGCGCTGTGGTCCTGCAGACTAAACTCACGTGGGCTACCCAGAAAAAAGTTCCATAGAACTCAATGTAAACTAAAACAGCTCGACCTCAGCTGACAGAGAACCTACAGCTTTCATAAAGGTCAGATTTTGTGGGGATTTTAGTGTCCCTTGTCGTGCTGAACTTTTTTTCTTCTTAAATCCTTCGGTTTTGTTTAAATCCACACTTTAGTGCCACAAACTCTACTCCTCTGGCTCTCGCTCTAACTCCCGCTCTGATGAACTGCTCTGATTGGTCAGAGCGCGGCCGAGCCCCTCTGTGCACGTGCGTGAGACCCGGTATGAGACCCACACACGCATGTTTGGCGCAATGCATTATGGGAGATCATCCACTGCACAGAACCGGAAGGACCAGACGATGCCCAAACACAGGCGAGTTCCGCTAAAATGTCAGCGGCCGTGCCGGCACAAAGCGCCACTGAGCACAACCATACATTTGAATAGAGCGCCATCTTGGATCGCCGGGGCTTGGGGAGAAACAGCTGTATGTGTCAGTGACGTCTGGACTTTACGCCAAATTTGCTGGTTTTAGTTTGGCAATGGTGGAGAATGCGATAGTAATGTAATCCGTTCTGGTTCGCTCCAAATATAAAGAAATTGAAGCTGGAGCAAGAGGAATTTTTAGCAGATGTAATTACTGGCAAAGATATTGTGGCTCTACTCCCCACGGGCTCCGTTAGCGGCAAAAGAGATGCTAGGCAAAATGCTAAATGCTAACAACTCACTCAGGTGCATTACATACGTCACGGTAAACTCAGATCCAATCGTTTCAATCTGAAAAAGGAATGAACCCCTCCCACCTGTAAACGGAGCTCAATAGAGTTTGTACGACAGTGGGGTCTAACCAGGCTGATACCACCGGGAAGCTCCCTGAAGACTCCTGTCCTGAATGATCCAATTAGTAGACATTAAATAGACATTAGAGTAAACATAGAATATCTACTTCAGATATTAAAGAAATGAAGTCATGATCAAGGTTTTCCTTTTGTCTTATACTTTCTTCTGTTTTGACCTGGAGCACACAGTCCTTTGTAGAAAACACGTTGCCCATCTCTCAGCTGACCTTACTGTATTTGAATCAAGAGTTGAGAATTAGTTCATCATGTATTCTTATAAGCATTTATTTGTTAATTCAGATTTCCATAAAAGTATGATTTCATTAACAGTAGTTTACCAACAATGTGTCTATTAAACATTAAAAACAGAAAAGACAAAACGGTCTGTCCACGATGTCATGTAAATGTTTTAAAAAGAGCATTTAGACAGATGGTAGATAGAGCTAAAACAAATCCAGGTCAGTAGCAAAATAGGAACAACAATCTAGATATATAAAAGTCCTTTATTGACGAGCAACCTGCCGACGTGTTTCAGAGGATTTCTTTAGTTTAGGGCAAACAGGAAGTAGAGGCCTAAAGATGAAGCTGTATCATAAACTTAACTCAATCTATCACACGTCAGAAAGTTGACTTTTTAATAAACTTATGGAGAGTCTTGCTTTTTTGGGGCCTTGCTCCATCGCAGTTTGAAGTCAGTCCCAGGGAGTTTCTCCTGGAGTCTTTCTTGGAGCTGTTTCAGAAAGAATCAGAGTGAGTGAGGTTGTACAGACTGAACATAAGACATGGACGCACCAGTTTGAGCAGCTGCTCAGAGACGGCTGCATCGCTCAGGTCCACGTCAGTCTGGATTCTCATCTGTGTCTGCAACACGGAGCGTCTCGGTTTCACTGCAAACACGAGCTCTGAGTCAGGACAATAGTCTTCTGCTGACGCATCAACACAATCTAATGTCAAACATGACATTCTGCAATAACGTGGTTTCTTTTATTCAATGAGTAAAGAGGGGAAAGCAGAAAAATTACCAAAGAATAACAAATAATTTGATCCGAATCCATGATATGCGTCAACAAAGTCCACCTTAAATCCACCTCCCATTCACCTCCACCTGCCGTCCAACACCCAAGACCCACCTCTCCCTCTCTCTTATCCCTTAACACTAGGATGCACAGGGTCTCTGCTTTGCCGCCATTTACAATCAAATTAGAGAGAAATGATTACACAAAGAATATATAACAGAAAAGGCGGCACGGTGGCTGAGTGGTTAGCACTCTTGCCTCTCAGCAAGAAGGTTCTCGCTTCGAATACCGGTCAGAACACAGCCTTTCTGAGTTTGCATGTTCTCCCTGTGTCTGTGTAGGTTTCCTCCAGGTACTCCGGTTTCCCTTACCACTAAAAACATGTGCAATATTTCAGGGTGAATGAGTGTGTTTGTGAGTGCGACTGTGGGACAACGCATGGAAATTAGCCCAATTAAACAACCAAATAAATAAATAGTACATAAAGAAGACATCTGGAGTTAGTCAGGGGAGAGGCATAGCTGCAGTTTTTAGAGATCTTGGGAAGTTTGAATATGTGTGGTTTAAAATTGAACAAAAACAATCGTTACTCTTCACTGTCCTGAACAAGCCACCACTGTCATGTCACAGTGATACTTTTACTGAGTTGCTTTCAGTTGTTTGCATAGACTTTGAAGCCTCTGCACCGGTGGACTGGTCCTGCCCGGCCCGACTCACGGGCTGCACCCCCTCCCCGCCCGAGAGATACCTCAGTCCTCCATCGCATCTGTCCTCGTTCAGCAGCCTGAGTCCTGCACCATGTGGCCTTGTTCCTCGTTCAGCAGCCTGAGTCCTGCACCATGTGGCCTTGTTCCTCGTTCAGCAGCCTGAGTCCTGCACCATGTGGCCTTGTTCCTCGTTCAGCAGCCTGAGTCCTGCACCATGTGGCCTTGTTCCTTGTTCTGCAGCCTGAGTCCTGCACCATGTGGCCTTGTTCCTTGTTCTGCAGCCTGAGTCCTGCACCATGTGGCCTTGTTCCTTGTTCAGCAGCCTGAGTCCTGCACCATGTGGCCTTGTTCCTTGTTCAGCAGCCTGAGTCCTGCACCATGTGGCCTTGTTCCTTGTTCAGCAGCCTGAGTCCTGCACCATGTGGCCTTGTTCCTTGTTCTGCAGCCAGAGTCCTGCACCATGTGGCCTTGTTCCTCGTTCAGCAGCCAGAGTCCTGCACCATGTGGCCTTGTTCCTGGTTCTGCAGCCTGAGTCCTGCACCATGTGGCCTTGTTCCTCGTTCAGCAGCCTGAGTCCTGCACCATGTGGCCTTGTTCCTCGTTCAGCAGCCAGAGTCCTGCACCATGTGGCCTTGTTCCTCGTTCAGCAGCCAGAGTCCTGCACCATGTGGCCTTGTTCCTCGTTCAGCAGCCAGAGTCCTGCACCATGTGGCCTTGTTCCTCGTTCAGCAGCCAGAGTCCTGCACCATGTGGCCTTGTTCCTGGTTCTGCAGCCTGAGTCCTGCACCATGTGGCCTTGTTCCTCGTTCAGCAGCCTGAGTCCTGCACCATGTGGCCTTGTTCCTCGTTCAGCAGCCTGAGTCCTGCACCATGTGGCCTTGTCTGTCCGTTGGCGCAGAACCCTCTCTCGATGTGGACCTCACAGAGGTTTCTAACTTTTTCCCATTGGGTTTTTTTGATTAGAGTTTTTCCTTTGCCAATGCAGTAGCTGTGCATACAAGTGAGATCTTGTTTTGCACTTTGCCTTGTCCTGTAATTCCTCGGCTTTGCATTTCAAATGTGCAGATCATAATAAAAGTGACATTAGAGTTGAGCAGTCTTATTTTCCTCAATTTTCGTAATGTCTGAATTAAAGGAGGGACATGAATCACAATGTATCGCAGAATTCAAAAATCACTGTTTACTGTATCATAATATGTTAAGAATCAGATTCATTTATTTGCCTTTTGCAGTAAAGCGACATTGGACTACATTTTCAATAGTACTTACATGAAACAACATTAAAAGTACAGAGATAAAACAAATAAACCAGTAAACGATTGACACCGTGAAATTGATCGACTAAAATAGTTTCAATACAAAGGCAAGATCATTAAAGTGCTCTGTTCAAACTGATGCAGTTTAAACATATCGAGACATCCTGCATCTCAGTGAACGACATCTTCTGCCAGAGGGAAGAAGCTGGAACATGGCTTTTCCAGGAGCCAGAGGAGTCATTGATTATTCTTAGAGCTCAGTTTAAGAGTCTGGATTCATAAAGAACCTCCAGAACAGGAAGCTCACAGCCCACGGTCCTATCTCTCGTCTCTCTCTGGTCTCTGTCTCTCTCTGGTCTCACAGCTCACAGTCATATCTCTGGTCTCTCTCTGGTCTCTCTCTCTGGTCTCTCTCTGGTCTCTCTCTGGTCTCTCTCTGGCCTCTCTCTGGTCTCTCTCTCTGGTCTCTCTCTCTGGTCTCTCTCTGGTCTCTCTCTGGTCTCTCTCTGGTCTCTCTCTGGTCTCTCTCTGGTCTCTCTCTGGCCTCTCTCTGGTCTCTCTCTCTGGTCTCTCTCTCTGGTCTCTCTCTCTGGCCTCTCTCTGGTCTCTCTCTGGCCTCTCTCTGGTCTCTCTCTGGCCTCTCTCTGGTCTCACAGCCCACAGTCGTCTTTGCAGAGCGGAGCACCTTGTTTAGAGCTCTCCTTTCTTTGTCTGTGATGTCACCAAACCTCACAGTCACAGAACCAACAGGCAAACTTTCAATGGTGCAGCGATCAAAGTTAATCAGAATCTTAGAGTTAGTGGTAAAGTTTTTGCAGAAAGTAGAGACGCTGACGAGCTTTCTTAACGACCCGGTTTGTGTTTTTGTTCCATTTCAGGTGGTTAGACAGAGTTAAACCCAGAAACATTCTCCTCTACAATCCGCACTTGGTAGTTATTGATAACAACAGACGTGTGAGAACTGTTCCAGCTAAAGTCAAAGACAGTTCACATGTTTTGGATGAGTTCAGCTGGAGGTTGTTAGCTTTACTCTCTGCTCTGTAAGAGGATTCATTGTTATTACTGATGAATTGCAATAATATTGAATTGTGTCCCAATTATTGCAATACTATCGAATCGTCACATTTTTGCCTCTTCTCATCTTCTTTCAGATACTTTCTCTGCAAGGTTGACATAAATTACTGGACAGATTCTGGTGTATTGTGAAATGCTGTGAGCCTAGGCTTTTACCTCACCTCCGCAATTCAGATGCTGCGACAAAACTATTGAGTGTTTGTAATATCTTTGATAAACTCTACCTTCATGACAGACGAACATTAGTGGTTTGGAGCACGTGTCATCCTCCATTTGGCCGTCTTTATTCATATGGACACAGTGCTCGTCGTTATTTATGTTGTTGGGTGATCCAGAAATCCAATTCCTGAAGCTGCTGTTGCTGAGGTCCGACCAGAGCCACGTGTTTCGGTACAGACCGATCCAGCCATTATACCCTCCAGATAAAGCCGTCGTCACAGCCTGGTTCTCCTCTGCACTCTCGATCTGAGCCAGGTCCTGGTACTGGTCTCTGCACACGCTCTGGCAGCCGGGCCAACTCCTCCTCGTGCTATTCCCCAGAAAGAACTGTTTGACACCTTCCTGAACTAAACACAGAAACAAAACACAATAGAAGCTTAGTATAAAGTGGTGACAAACCAGTTCACAGTTGTGTTATTTAGATCCTCTGTTTGAGGCGTGAGACAGTGGAAATGAAAGTGTATCAACGTATAAGTCAAACACACTCACCTTTGAAGCAAAGACAAAGTGCTTCGCCGGTACAGTACAGGTTTTTCTATATGCCTTCCTCTGTATAAACACATTCTGCTTTACCACCTGCATTATTTGGATATCCTGACTTCCAGTTCTGGTAGCCTCCAGGGCTGGTGGCCCCAGTGGCAGACCATCTCCAGGAGTTGGAGGCATTGGTCATGACGTTAAACCAAGCAGCAGGGTCATCATGAAGACCGATCCAAGCCTCATGACCAGCCGGGATGTGGACTCTGCTCAGGTCCTCTGCTCTCTGTATCGTGGCCAGGTCAGTGAAGTGCTCTCTGCAGTACTGCTGAGCCTCACCCCAGCTTTTGGACTGGTTGATGAAATGGTACTCGTCAATCACTTCATGAGCAAATGTTAAGAGGATTGTTCCATGACCTAGAGATGAAAACATGTCACTGAACTGAGAAAGCAGAGAGAGAACCAAGTGCATGTTCCAGTTATTAAAGTATATTTGAATAACACCTTCAAATCAGACATTTTCTGACAAACTCCAGACAATCACTTTAAATTGGATTTATTTTCTGAGATAATTGTAATGTACGTGTTAGGATTAACACTAGCAAACCCATGGAGGTGCCATTTGGCACTTCTACCTAAAAAGCCCACCACGGTGCCAAATGACTCCAAGGATTTTAGCTAACAAACTAAATCACCTGTGAACGGCCAACTTTGTTATGTAAATAAGGCCATTATCACAGGCTGAGCTGAAGTTGCTCAACCACTTTACTTTGTCTTCTTCGGGAGAGGGAGGATCTGATTAGTTAAAATGAGTTAAATCTAGTGTCATGCTAAAAAATAATAATGAAAATAATAAAGTGAATTTAAAGAAAACAAACGAGCAACGTCATTCAATGTATACATTTACATTGTTTACAAAATAAATATGCTACTTACAGTTTTTCTCAGTGTCTTTGGTGCATTTATCATATAATTCTTCACATTTGCACAACAGTTAGTGCATTTCTCAGAACAATTAGTACAAACTGCAAAACCTTGGGGATAACCTGCAAAAGTGCATCACCTTCTCAAAATGAAAAGTTTATTCCTCAAAAGCAAGTCTTCATGTCGAGGAAACTGTCTGTCTCAAAATAATAAGTCTTAACAACATGGAGTATGAACAACACAGTCAAATGACTTTGTCACGTTTTCATTGTGACACTTTACTCTCTGTGTTTTCAAAGCAAAAAATCTGATCTTGGTGAGCACTGTACAGCTGAAAACTACAGTAAAGTTACACACAACTGTATTTAGTGAGAGTAAAAGAACATTTATACTGTATGTACTGTATGTGTGTGTGTGTTTGTGCATGTATGTATTTACTGTGTGTGTGTGTGTTTGTGCATGTATGTGTTTACTGTGTGTGTGTGTTTGTGCATGTATGTGTTTCGATGTATGTCTGTGTACTGTATGTCTTTCACATATTTACTGCATATGCTCTTTGCAATTCTACAGCATTGTGCAACAGAAATACAGTCACATACATAGAGCAAACATACAGAATATCATTATGGTAGAACTGTGACAAATGTAAACAATAAAACACACACCTCGTCATGAGTGAAGCTGAAATTCGAAATTAGGAAAGATTTTCTGGATATAAAAAGATAAAGTAATGTATGAAATTAGTTTGACAGATTTTGGTTTTGAACAGTTTTGTATGTGATGACCAAAGCGATGAAATGAGGACTACTGGTTTTACAGAAACTATTCAGTCGTGAAAAGTATGTTTCATTCTGATTGACAGGACAGAAGCAAATGATAATGTTATAAAACAGCAGAGAACTGTATGAAAGTAACTGATACATGTCCAAAAGCATTTGTAAAGTGTTCAAAGGAGAAACTGCCGCGATGATGTCACACACGACTCAATGTTGTGGAGGTTCTACCGTAATGATTTTTTGTATGTTTTTCTAAGTAAATACTGTATGTGTACTATTTTTAAAATGTGAAGAATTATGTGAAAAATGCACCAAAGACACTGAGAAAAACTGATTACAAAATATATACAGCGCATTCTCAGGGTACACAGCACATGTGTATCTGTGGTCTCACAGACTACTGTAGTACTCTCTTGCAGCTCTCCCTCCCCCGCACGAATAAACAAAGCCCACCCCAGCCCCCTGCTGTTATAAGTCATTACCTACATTTGCAAATCAATACATGCAAATGTTAGCAGCCAACCTAGCAAGTTAGCTCCTTCTTCTCAAAACAGGGGCCAATTTCGGTTGGGTTTTCTAGTTGGTGGCACCGTGTGGCTGTGACAGGAGTGATCTCATTTTAATGTAGGACATATCTCTGTTGGTAAGGAGCAGTGCCATGATGTTTTGTCATTGGCTGGAAGGGGTCATGTGACGGTGACATAAAAGGAGGAAAGAGGAGAAAGAGAGAAAGGTGCTTCAATAAAGTGCATCCTTATATCACCAGTGTGGGCGGGTCCCGGCTCAAAAGTGGCCAAAATGATGTGCGCTGACATGCTGCAATACCACCCCGGGCCTGTGGGGGTGGACCCGGAATAAGAATTAGCTAATGCTAACATATAGCATCTTCTTACCTCTCGAAAACACCTTTACAGGATTGTCCAAAAGTTGGCTCTTGGCCCAAAGCTCCGTTCCTCATGAGTGCCAATACTCGTTTAAATGAACGGGGCTCTCGCCGGCTGACGCATGCGCTGATTCGTTTTTTCACAATTTTCTTGTGGGCGGGACCACTCGCGGCCATTTTGGATAGCTCCAGTGGAGCACAATTTTTGGCCCATTTGTTTGAACGGCGGAGATAGGCGTGACTCTGTCCGTTAATATTTACAGTCTATGTATATCACACAACAATTACAAGAAAATAATAACTGTAGAAAGTGTATAAACAAAATAGAATTCTTCCCAATTTCAATTTCAATGTATTCTTGTATAGCCCTAAATCACAACCGGAGTTATCTCAGAGGACTTTTTACAACAGTTGAATTAGTCAAATATTTCGTGGATATCACTATTGCAAGCAAGATAATCATGAACGGCGATCTGAAAAAGATTCTGGTAAAGATGATCCTTTATTTTATTGAAAAATAGACTAACAGAATGTAAAGATGCCTGTTCATATGGAGGCGATCTACTTCATCTTTCAGTTGTATATTTTGTTAGCGGTGCGTTGCTTTTGTACCATTTCATCGGTGCGCTAATGCTAATGTTAGCATATGTATCAGATCGTAAATAAAACTAGATGGCTCCGTGGGATGAGAGCGCAGGGAAATGAGAAGCCTGTGAGCGAGTTGAGGGCGGTGCTAAACCTTGCAGAAACGCGTAGAGCTCCTTTAATTTGGGTTGATAGGAAAAAGAGAAAAAAACCTGAAACCTGAAGTAGTTCTTTTCCAATATCAAATGGTATTCAAACTTTGTTACAAACCCCTCATAACGTCTTTAAACGCCTCCTTGGTTCAGGCTCAATCCTAACTGCAAAAGCTTTACCAATTAAACACTGGGGAAGGACGACAAATTTGTGGTTATTTTCAAACATTGCTTAAAATGATCATAAATCTGTCTGTTCTGTGGGCCGAAGTGTGTCCATAGAACGGTTTGATTTTCTCATCTGTTGTTAATGAATCGACAATTTGTAAAGTCCTTCGAGACGACTGCTGTTGTGATTTAGGGCGACACAAAAATGAATTTAACTGAATTGAAACAAACAACAAAAACAAAACAACAATTATTACGAGAATAAAAAGGTGTCATTTCTTAAAACAGAGACTATCATTTGATACTAAAGTCTCCGCACATGTGCAGTGTGAGGATGTGATGAAATGTAAACAATTATTTATTTTTCTCACCATAAAATATACAGACCAACAGAGCTTTGAAGTCCATGTCTGATGACCACAGACTCAACAGAACCACGGCAGGAATATCTTCATCTGACGTAGTCTAAAGGCATTTAATGAACACAGATTAGATTAGATTAGATTAGATTACAGTCCGTCGTTTCATGGTGCGCCAGAAAAGAGTGCTTCTTACCTCACGGCTGTTGCTCTGGTGTGGAGACTTCAATCTAAAGTATCTTCTTGATTCACACCCTTTCATTTGCCTCTCAGCGTCACCCTGTCTCACCTTTACCTTTCCTTGGGATTATTTGCTTATGTGCCTCATACATGTCTTTGCATTTGCAAGACTTAAATCCAGGATGTTGGTCTTAATCTCATAAGACTTCCAGTAAAAACACCTGCTCTTGTGTTTTTACGACTGCCTTCATCCAAATACACTCCTGAGGTCAGGTCTGCAGTGTTCCTCAGTCTGTGTTCATTTAAGTGTTGACTTCAAACTGATATTTTTCATTAATCATAACAAAACAAACAAGATACACACGGTCAATGTGAAAAATACAGTTTGAAAAGGAGTTGGACGAAGCAAAGGCTTAATGGGCTCCAACAACCCTCCTTCCCACAACACACACACACACACACGCATATACACACACAGACACACACACAAACACACGGAAACACACAATACACACACACAGACAGACACAAAAACACACAGACATACACAATACACACAGACATACACACAGACACACACACCTGCACAAACACATGCACACACACACACACACACACACACACACGTTTTTGTTACCTGGTGGGTCCCTTTGACAGGGCCGTTCAGAATGGGACCCATAGACATAATCTTTTTTACTGGGACTACTTTAAGTAATACAAAACAGTCAATAGAAAACAAACAACTCTTTTAAAGGAATTTTATTTTAGATTTTTTTTTTGAATTGCAGTGATTCTATTTTTGACATAGAATTTAATGCCACTCCATGTCCGATGTCTAAGGTCATCTGGTGAGGCATTAATGCAGGCCAGGCAGTGAGACTTCCCAGGGACCTTTCCAGTCTGTATGAAAGGTGTCATGGTCTTCTCCACAGCCTTCACCTCAGATGCAGACCATGGCTTTCTTACACGTTCTAGGGAGAGAAATAAAAATATATTAGCAATATACACTCCCAGGGTTAGGACCAAGCAGCCTGGCTGTAATCCCCCACCTGGTACACTTACCAGAAGGGGCACTGCCACTGCCATGGGGTGCATCTGGATGAATGGTTGAAGGTTCTCCGCTTGAAGTTTCTTTTAGCCCGTCCGTTTGTGAGAGGATCTCTACTGCTCTCCCTGTCGCCAAGCCCCGGCGATCCAAGATGGCGCCCTATTCAAATGAATGGTTGTGCTCAGTGGCGCTTTGTGACAGCATGGGGGCTGAAAGATTAGCGGAAGTTGCCTGAAACTCGCAAAGATCTATGGGAAACTCGCCTGTATTTGGGCATCGTCTGGTCCTCCCGGTTCTGCGCAGTGGATGATCTCCCATAACGCATTGTGCCAAACATGCGTGTGTGGGTCTCACACCG